GCTCTGCTCTTTCTTCCTCCTTTTGAAGAGTTTCCACAAGTCGACTCGATCTGTTCTTACAACTGCGTCATGCATTTGTATTTTTAGGCGCCACTTACAATATGCAACATTCCTCTGTGCTACACACACCTCACTCAGCCTTGCCTGCCAAGGTTGTCTAGCAGCTAAACTGACTTCCTACCACGACTTGGGCATTGGCATTGTTCAGACTGCTTGACGCAAATGGGTAGCTTACTGGGCCAGAAGCTGTTGTGCAGTTGTTGTTGTGTTTTTTTTGTTTTTTTTTTGTTGTTGGCTCTATGCACTTGCCATGATTATGCGAAACTTGGCAAGTTTGCTTAATGCAACATAATCTGAGGCAGTATCATCATCATCAACATTGCATGAACATATTTATTATTGTTGTCTATTGCTTTTGTGTTTGCTTTGACAAAAGATAACAAACTGCTTAGAATGCATACAATTGTGCATTGGGCCTAATGAGACAGCTCGTTGACGGAAGCGTTGTAGAGTTGCTGCTCATTGAAACTGGAGATGAAGATGATAGAGATGGGAGGGAGCCAATCCTCAAGTGAATTCTGATTGGCAAAGCTCAACTTGTTGTTGCAGTCAGATGCATCTGAGTCTGCACACTGCACGCTTAGGCATTATAAAGACATTAGATATTCCAAACATTTTCTTTTACATGCATCTCCATATCTCCCTCTCTCTCTGTCTCTTTCTCCTTCTCCTTCTCTGTCTCACACTTGCTGTTCTGTAGAAGCTCATTAATTCAATTGCATTGCACTTTCGTGGAAATTGCCGTCTGTGTGTCTCGACGTGGCCACATTTGCATAACAGTTGAGTGAATTGGTGGGCAGACAGGACAGGTTGAGCTGAGGTTGAGTGCACTCAACGAGTATCTGCCACAGAAACAAAGTTAGCTCCTCTCAACGCGTACCTAATTGCTTTTACCATCGCCCATGAAATATGCAACAGGGTTGCAAGACAAAGTGCACAACATTTGCCAACACTGGGAGCACACGCATATACACACATACACACACACACACGCAACAATCAAATTCAATCAATTTAATCAAGCTTACGCACAGGTGTGTGTGCGGCACACGCTGCGTATACGCAATGTGGCATCTGCTTTTGGCGCGTTGTGTTAATTTTAACACGTTACGCACGTAAAACGCAAAAGCGATGCTAAAAATACTTATCATGTATGTATACATACATGTATACAACATATGTATACACTAAATGTACTTTTATATCGCAGCCATAATATCGAGTAACAAATGCCGCCATCACACACATACACACACGCACACACACACACACACACACTGACACACAAACACACATACACACACACACACTGACACACATACACAAAAGAAATATACACTTAAACACGCATAGATATTTGATACACACGCGTTGCTGGAGGAGAGAACTTTGCTAGTAGTATTCATGTTGTGCTTGTGAGTATAACTGGGTCTGGGTCTGAGTTTGGACTACATAATAAAGCAGCCATAAAGCAGCAACAAAACGTGCGCATAACACGTACAAATGAACAGTTGTAGGGACAAAATACACCGAAGCTGGGCTGGGCTAGTTGACTGTTGCCAACTATGCATGTTGTGTTTCAAATCAAAATCGCCTTCATTTCGCCATTTTAAATATTCCTAATACTTTCTAGCCAAACACTCTTTCTGCCTTTCTATAATTTTATTCTCTTGGGCATCATATATTTTGTATTTCTCCATTTTCAGGAGAAAAGTTTTGCATATACTCTTTTCCTCTGGGAAAGTCGAGATGCCTTAAGGCATAGTTAGCCACCTTTTTTACTTTTTCTTTACTATCTAAAATGTGCTTTAATCCTCGGATTTAATTCTGTCTTCACTCGTTAACGGAATGCTGGTGAAAGAGTTTTTAGTCAACTCGCTTCATTAGTTGAGTGAAGCTGTTTGCTTGGTGTTTTGGGAGACAGCGCCAAAAAAAATTTATATTTCCCAAGCGAAAGGCAGAAAGTCAATGGCAAATTCTTATGCTAAACACGCGCGTGTCTGACGAGCGATTTGCTGGAGTTTTTCTGTTGCTGGAGCTGCTTCTGCTTTAATATGCTAGCTGTATGCATTCAAAAGCATACAAAATAATAAAAATACATGCACATAAATAACACGAGGCAGTTGAAGAGCAAAAAAAAAAGGGGCAAACAAACCAAACACAAGCAAAATAAAAATCAAAATAACCAAAAAAAAAAAAGGGCAACAAACAAACAGCTGAAGCAACTTTAGGATCGGTTTACCATTTCTTTTCGCTCGTCAAAGTCAACGTGTGGAAAGAGACCGCTAACAAAAAAAAAAAAGCCAGTCACAAAAGGAAAGTAAAATGAGGCAAACCAAATAAAAATTCGCACACGCGTCACACAATTCTTAAGCCATTGAAAGGCGCGTGAACTTGAATTGATTTGCTTAGATTCTTTTTAATACACACACACACACCCAAAACTTGCATATATATTTTAACATTCATGTTATGCTGACAACAGTAAAAACGACGTCATAATTATAACGAGCCAACAATTTGTAATGCTCCGCCACTGACAAACGGGGCGTATGAGCAACCAAAACGACAAACAACATTTTTATAGCCAAACAACAGAGCGGTAAATTTTAAAGTGTATTTCGAGAGAAAAAGGTTAAATGCAATCGTAAAATGGCAAGCATGTTCCACGGAGAGGATGGAAGGAGTACAAGGAGTGAGCTGTAAGTTGACAGGGGAATTGTGATAAGGGGCGGCAATGTGGGAGGGACATTGCGGGTCGGAAAAGATTTATGAAAAATTGGCTTTTGTTTGGCCAAGCGGGTCACAAACAAACAAGATAACATACACACATGTATGGATGTTCTGAATGTGTCTGTACTTGTATGCCTAAATGAAAATGTAAAGTTTATGACAGAGTCGAGTTTTTGCATACATAAGGCTTACCCTTAAATTCATTTCAATATGGATCCAAATCAAATTCGAATTTTAAGCGATTTTTAAGCCATATAAAAATTAGAAGCATTAAAATAAAATCATCATTATTCTGATGGATTTTCAAATCAATGGATAATTAAATGAAAATGAAAAGTATCGGAACAGATCAGACCATTAGAATTAATTGGCTTTTAATTGCATATTACTAAGCGGCTCCTAAAACTAATTACAGGGCATCTGGATGACTGCCCCGCTCGACAGAATGGGAAACCATTTCCGTTATTTATGTTTTTTATGTGCTGTGCATGTTTCCACTTCCTTCGTTTGTATATTTGTTTTTTTTTTAATGCTTGTGCCTAAAAACACACAACTAAAATAACTAGTTGAAACAACAAGTTTGCGTCTAGTTTTAGACCACACTCTGTGGCCTTGCCACAAAAAAATACAATCAGAACTGTCATAATTTTCTATTTATCTCTGTGCGTCGCAAAACTTGACCACAAATAAACAAAAATGTTGCGGGAGGCGAGCATGGGTAAGAAAAAATGGGTTAAAATGACAAACGTAATGGGCACAAAATCAAAATTCAAAAACAAAATAAAAAAAAATTATAAAAGAATTTCTAATTTGGAGCAACAAATCAACGCAACGAACTGCAGATGCGTCTAAACAATTTCTGAATTAGTTTGTTGTTGGTCTTTTCATTTGCGTCATTATTGCATATTTAAAATTTGGCGTTAGCATCGGTATTTTATGTGCTCTTTACGACCCATGTACAAATTGTATTTCTCGTTGTTTATTGTTTATGTTTATGCATTTTAATGCTACAATACAGCTGCAGCATCAACATCGTGAGCATTGAATACTTTTTGGCAAGCCAAACAAGAAGAGGCGGCGCTTGGCAGCTGCCTCCATTTACATCATTATCGTCATAGTCATAAACATCATTATCATCTGCATATGCAGCTGCATCTTATGCCCTGGCACAATATCAAAGTCAAACTGTGAATTCTTTTCCGTTGCTGCCAAATCAAATAATCAACGAAAATGTGTTAAATTCAACTACAAGCGAAGCACAAACTAAAACGTCAATACGTGTGGCAAAATAAAGATACAAATTTTCAACGATTTGGACAGAATGTAAGTCACTCGCAAAAGAAGCAGAATGTATAATTATTTAACTTTTGTATTCTGTGACTTTTTGTGCTCTCTATTATACATTAGTTAGCAAAAATCTTTTACAAACTTTAAAAGCATCAAGTCTGAGCTAGTAGCCCGCAGCAAGTGCTCGAGTGCTCGAGTGCTCAAATCTCCAAAATACTTGGCTCAAATAACTTGAAAGACACAAATAACTGCAGACGGGGCACTTGCAAAAGTCGCGCGTAATCCAAACTCTAGAGCTTAAACATAGACGGGAATCCTTTAGCTTTGCCCTCTGTTTGCCCCGCCATACACCAAAGTTCAACAGAAACTTGTTGAAAAATTGCAGAACGTTAATCAAAGTTAAGCGGCACGACGACTGCGATGACTGCGACGACGGCGACGACGGTGACGCCGACGTCAAAGTTAATTAAATTACAAAGTTATTTAATACTTTGGAATCGTTACCGTTAGCAGCAGGACTGGCAACCAGAGCTGCAGGAATTAGGCGACTGCTGCGCTTGCCACAGTGAAGCACTTTGAACTTTGCCACTCGTCGCTCTTTCACCTCATTTGTTTCTGGAGGAGGACAACGTCGGGACAGACGAAATATAGATGAGCCAAGCCGAATCCTCTTGAAAATCGTGTGTCAGTTTTTAATGAAATGTAATTGAAATTAATTTAATTGCTTGCACTGCACCCTTAACTGTTAAGTTAAATGAACTGGACATCCTTTCAAATTGACTAACAAGCATGTAAATATAATTAAATCATTCCATATAGTATTTATAATACATATTAATCACGACAATATTTAAGACTTGAAAAGTAATATTGAATATCTTATCATGTTATATTTATTATTATTATTATAATTTAATTTCCATTTATAAGCATAGCTGCTTATTTTATTAGGAATCATCGTTATATTCACAATTAGGCCAATATCCTGCAAATTCCTCTTCTTCAACTTCCTTATCTTTATAATTCTGCCATTCCGCTTCTTCATTATCTTCTTCATCTTCGTCTTCATCTTCATCTTCACTTTCTTGATCTTCTTCTTCAACTTCCTCTTCCTCAACTTTCTGTCCTCCAACTTCCTCTTCTTCAGCTTCCTGTTCTTCAACTTCCTCTTCTTCAATTGTCCCTTCAACTTTTTCTTGCATTAATTTTTCTTCGCCAGATTCCTTTTCGGCCAATTTGTCTTCTTCAACTACCTCTCCGTCAACTTCCCCTTTTTTGGTCTCCACTTTCTTATATTCTGTTGCTTCACAATCATTTGAATTCAACTCAAAATCATTATTCAAAGGATTTTCTTCAAGATTTTGTGGACCTACTGGCGCTCTTAGAAATGGATTGCTAAGTGCTACATATACATAAAAACTATATAATATTTTGCAGGCATAGAAAAGTCTAACTCAACATACCATTTTCATTTTCTGGTTCATTGTCCTCAAGGACATTCCCATCATGGCCTTGATCGCGTGGCATTAGTGCGTCCAAAAAGGCAGGCAAATCTGGCATCCTCGCAGCGGGCACTGCATATATGGAAATCAACGAGCAGTCAATATCTATAACAAAGAATTTGGCTCTCTATCTGTCTATATATTTATCTCACATAAAAATGTTGTATCCTGCGTGGACTCGCTCAACAGCGAAATGTTTGGCTGCCTGCGCATCGACAATCCATAAAGCGCATTTTGAGCATCCAAATGAAGCTGGGCTCGCCGCTCCCGCTTCGTGGCATAGCTGTTGTCCTTGCAGATGTCAAATGGCGTCTGCCTGTAGGCATGCAGGCCGGGAAAAGGCACCATATATTTGGGTATGTGGCGCTCATTGCGCATACCTCGCAACTGACTCAGATGCACAAGTGGCATGCGATGGATATCATCGTCGTCCGTCTCCAGTGGCCATCGATTCAGGACCACTGAGCGCATTGGTCTCTTAGGCTTGGTGTTGCGCACATTCCACAGGTCAGCAGCATGAATGCGGTGCAGCCGAAATGTGCGCTCCACATCAAAGTAGCAGGGCGTGGCTCGACTGGCAAGATTGGCGCCTATCGAGGTGGTTACCGCTATCTCGCGCAGTTCTGCAATGTGTGTGTACAATGATAAACCGCACAGAGAACAGATGCAGTTACTCACTGTTTTGCAGCAGCTCGACAAGCTTATCAGACACTGACTGATTCCCCACTTTGCAATTCTTTTCAGCCAACATGTGGTCCACCAGTTGATGTAGTGCCTCCTCGTAGGGATTCATTTTGCGTAGTGGCTGAAAAACAAATGTGAAAAATGCAATTTGTTTGACAGGCCGTCTTAATATTTTTAACTGCTGTCACCCAACAATGTTTTAAAAGATTCATTAACTATCTGCTTTCATTTTGCATTTTCTATTTTCCATTTTCCAATTTCCATAACCCCCGGAAGGTAACCAGCGTTTGTATGTAGTTTGTTTAACCCCTTAACTTGTTTGCATAATCTTTCCATAATGCTGAACACACGGCTCGTCTCGCTTCTTGAGCCAATGCCAACAATTAGCCAGCGATTCGAGACGCGTCTCCGCCCCAAAAACTAATTAAAATATTTTCGCTTGACGATCGCGACAAACTGCAAAATGTTTAACACACACACACAACAACTTTGTTTACGTATTCGTTTACTTTATCTCGCATCGGCTAATGAGTTATGCAAATATTTTTAGCTGAATCAATTTCACAGAACCGAGCACAACAACTGCTGCCACTGAGCATCATGGTAGGAAAAGCAAGAGACAATAGAGTATAGTCATGCTGGAGGCGCACCAAAAATACTCTTGAATCCTAAAATATTTATTCATTGAAATTTATATGATTCATTTTACGGAGCTCTAAAGTGAATGAATTTAAAAAAAAAAAGACTTGATAAAAGTATGTTACTATCGCACAAACTTAGCACTTTTCAAACACTTTAATTTTAAAGCAAGTTTTCTCATGAAAGAAATAATTAAAAACAATGTTTGGCACAAAACAAAATTATGTATATTTTAGTACTTTAAAATAATCGCAATTACTTGAGCTAGTTAGAAAGCAAAACTTAACTTCTGTGAACAACATAGTTTATGAAACCTATGCTAAAACGATTTGGGAATTATAGGATGAACAATTCTAAAAATGCATTGTACACATCAGTTTTGTTTGATTACTAGAAACGTGTAGTAGCTTTTTATGTGGCAAGCATGAAGACATACACCTGATACCCTTAGGTAGGGTAGGCAGGGGTATTACAGCAAACAAGTCGGCTTGTTAATTCCATGCCAGGCAAAGAGAATGTGCAAGTATTGTGCCTAATGACAAATTTTCACAAGAAGCACATACAAGATACATTCAAAAGCACTCGGCCAGACAGACTCAATGCATCATCGTTGCCGTTGTTATTGTTGTAGTGGTTGTTGTTGTTGTTGTTTGGTGTAGAAACTGGAGGCGGCAATCATTCATAAGGCATAAAAAAAAGCAGCGACGAGGTTACTGTGTCAATTGAACCCCAGCAGCTTCACAGGGGCATTTAGTTGGTGTGCGGTGTTGGCGGGAGGAAGCGCGACCGCAAAGCCTTTTAGATGCAGACGGCGAGATGCGAGATTCGCATTAGTAACGCCCAACGGGCTGCCGCAATTGAACAAATTGTCCCCACCATCCTGCTCATGCCCATCAGTCGATCTCGTCGTGTATTGTGGGCGTGTGCTGCTGACATTTGTGCCCGCCCGAGTACCCCCCAACTCCCCTGGCTGCTGGCTTGACTGCCTATCAGCGATGTTTAAGTCTGAATCTGCCCCGATTTGCGGCAGCGCAGGCGCAACTGCCCCGCAGTCATCGCGTTGTATCTTGAATCTGTGATAAAAGAAAGAAAATTAAATCATTTTGCTGCATACAAATGTTCTGCGCGTGTTTGTGTCTATGAGTGGCTACTGCACCCGTTGTTGCATAAATTTCATTCATAATTAACAAGATGGGCATGCTGAGTTACAAGCAGTTTGTTTTAGAGCTGACAAACAAAGTAATTGCCACAATTTGTGTTGCAGCCACACAAACTGAGCTGTCTCTGTCAAGTTTGTCCAGTGTACTCAGTGCTCAGAGCAAAACAGGCTAATTCAAACGATTAATTTGATTAGCTGTGGCAGCTTAAGTCGGCAGACAGTCGCAACTGCTAACAAACCTGCAGCAAATTGATTGAGCGCCAGATTACTCTGAAAGTTGTTTGGCTCCAGTTCGCTGTCGATGCGGTCGACTCTGGTGCAAATTGCCCCAACAAATTGTTCCAGATTTGTTCCTGTTCACTGATAAATCTATTGAGATACTTACCAAGTCGCCTGCTCTGTCTATTGGAACCGTTAGGCCCACGCATTTGGGTCTGGCAGCTTAGTTACTGTGGCAACAGTGGCACGATCTCTTAACTTCATTCTGGAGAAGGTTAGGTCAATTCCTTTGGCTTGGCTATGACAGGCTAATACCGGAATTGCAGGCAGTTTGAGTTGCCACAAGTCATTTGCAATTGACTTGGAATGGTGTTCCAGCAGGTCTTTCTTTCTTTCTACAGCAGGTGTCGACAACGTGCCTCAAACTGCACGAGTTCTAAGCACTTGATGCAACAAAATCAATAAGACCTGACCACAACCTTAGATGAAGAATTTTGAAAAGCTTTTAGCTTGCACAATCTGTATGATGAATTTTATTGCCAACTTTAATAACTTTGATCGAACATAATCGATTTAAATATTCATCAATTTTGCACGTCAAATTATAAAACGCTTTTGAGGTGTTTATTGTCAAAATGTATGTCAAATAGACCAAAAATGTTAGTTGTAAATTACAAATGCATGCTATATGCTCTCTTTAGAATTCCATCCTGCTGAAAACCAAACGCACTCATTGCTGAGCATGTTTTTGCTAAGAACTTAAATTGGATGCATTTACAAAACAAATAGGCAAATCCGTAAATCATTTTTGACATCTTTGCTCCATAAATTCTACATAAAATAATCTCTTTTTATACTCGTGAACACTTGTGGAGATGCAAATAGCCATTTTTGTCTATTGAAGGCAACAACTGAAATTGCAATTATTGCAGTTCTGTTGCTGCCCCAAAATAACAAGAACAACAACCACGACTAGGCAACGATACAAAGTCCAAATTTGAATGGAAAGGGGAGCTGGCACGCGGACAGGGACAAGCGCAACGTCAGCCACTTGAAAATGTCACTGTGTTTGACATGGCCCCCACAGGCCCCCCCCCCAACCCCATTTGGACGTACTCGAAGCATCGGAAATTTCTTTCATAATTTGCGTCTGCATTTTCTCACTGTTGTTTTAGTTGCCACTGCTTGTTTGCCTTTGCTGCTGGCTCTCCGCTTCTTCTCTTTGCCAAACCTCAGCCTCTTGTTGTATCTACACATTGTAACGTTGAATTTGTTTACAAGTGTGTGTGTGTGTTTGTGTTTATTTGTTATGTGATATGCGATATGCGATACGCTTGTAGATGTTAGCATATGAAATAGGGGATATGTTAGCTTCAGTTTCCCACATGGTTGTTATTCGGCTTCTTTCTCCGTTTTATTCTTGTTTTGCTGGCGCAGAATATTTTTATTTTTTTGCTTATGCAAGTAAAATTTGTAATTATGCTGCAAAAGGTTTTCAGCACACGTTTTGCATATTCATTCCGAATTTTCGTTTTTCACTATTGTTGCCGTTCTTAGGACCATCGTTGGCCGCATAAGTCGAGTCTTTGAAGGAATCCACTTTGAAAGAAAAAATAAAAAAATAAAGTAAACATCTGTGCATAAATTTACGGGCAGCTTCGAAAGTTGATTTGAATTCAAATTTCAATCGAATATTTTGCTCGACATTCGCATTCATTTTATTTTTTCGTGGATTTGTATTCAATTTTAGGCCAGGCAACGAAATTGAATTAATAAATGTGATCTGAAGTCAATCAGAGTTTTATCGCTCTCTTTCTCTCCTGTTGTCTCTACATTTCACCAAATATTCCGAATTTCGTTTAATATTGTGTGTCCTCGATATTAATTGCCATTTTGCATACATATTAAAAAAATACTATAGTTAATAAAAAAAATTAAAAAAACGAAACTCAATTGATACATTTTTCTATTTTATTTGACATAATTGCTTGTTGCGGCTGCTTTGGGGCTAGAAATTTCAATTAGGGCCCCAAAAAGAGCAGCACTCCCAATTCCAAGCAATTAAAACTAATCAAAACTGTGGGCGTTGCCACCTGAGCCATTTAGTTGGGCGTGGCCCATTCACGAGACTCGAGACATATTTAGCATGAAATGGAAAGTCTCACTCTTATGCCAGTCGTTGCCAATTGTGGCGTCAGTCTGCCCCATAAATGAGACAAAGTTTCCACTCACAATGTCTTCAATTCCATTTGCATAAGTGTGGTACCAAAGGAGCCCAATAACAATAATAAATAGCTAAGCAACAAATTTACTCTAGTCAAATGTCTGTGAGACAAATTGCGGGAAACTTTGTTTGAGATGTTGCAACTTGCAACAGTATCGCAGAAAGTGTCAGTGCGTCAAGTCAACGAAAATAGAAGAAGCTGATTCCACCAACAAGTGCAACACAAAATTTGACTGCTTTAGAACTCTTATTTCATTTGATTTGGATCATTTAATTTTATATGTTGGACGGCCAAATTATAATTAAATTTTAATCTTGCGTTGTATATGAAATATTTTTTTTATATATATTCCTATATTATTATTTAAAAGGATATCTCAACATACATCAAACTGTTCGCTTTCGCAAGCACCTCAACTATTTTTAGCCAATGTGCACAAGGAAAATATCAGATAAAAAATTCTTGTCGGCTTAAAAGTTTATTTTTCAGCTGACGCTCGAGTTTGTGCCATACTTATTATTTCGATTACATTTTTAAAGTTTTATTAACAATTAAATGAATATTTCAAGCCAATTGTTTAGCTACAAATTCAGTTCGCCTGTTCGACCTGACAAACTGAAATGTCTGAGCAGTACAAATAAACTTGTTTGTTTAACACATTACTGTTCACAACTAACAATAACCATTATTATTATTATTATTCAAGTTTGTGCCGTTGCTGTCGATATGGCTTTTGTTGTCATTTGCACAATTTGACAACTTGACAGTGTGCGCTTTTGTTGTCCAATTGGACATGGCTTCCGCGGTTACAGTGGTCATTTACAGCAATAACAGCGGTGGCTACAGTGGTCAACGACTTTTTAAAGTTTCGTTGGCCAACCGCTGCTAAGTGGGCTGCTAACTGTCCGCTGGCATCTCTGATTGGTAGCAGCATTTATTACTCAATTTCGACGATTTAAAAGTTGTTAATGTTGTCGTTGGTCACAATTGTCATTTACCATTAAGCGATCGGCTTGCAAAAAGTCGTGCCGTGTTCAATGTGTCAGTTGGAGCTGATTTTCGGAATTGGATTGGGTAATTGATGTTTGAAATGAGCCACCTTATTAATGTCGGCACCGGTGAAAAGTGCTTAAGTGAGATATTTAAAGAAGTGAAGCATTGCCTGAGACTCAACAAGAAATTATTTAACTACAAATAACTGAGACTTAATATGTTAAACATGCCTAAAATCCACGACATATTTTAATAACAACTTTTCTTCTATTACAGCTTCTATTACCACTTCTGAAATTGTCGCCTGGATGTCGAAGAAGTCTATGCAAAAGGTAATTCACCTCAATGATGTACATCAAATATATTAAAAGCTAAGCGTGCAGCTTACAGTCAACACTAAAAGTGAACTTTAACTTTATGTTATTGATTGTGAAATCTCATTTTATAAAGTGCTTCAAAATGCATGCGCATAACTCCGACCGCTTTCGTTATTTCAAATAAATATTTGTGGAAATCCACACGAGCTGCATATAATTTCTGTATGCAAAGTCCACCATTCCACCCATGCAAAGTGCCACCGCCCCCTTCCTCCTTCCTGCCACAGAGTTTCTGCAAGAATCTGCATCTTTGCTTTGCTTTGGGTTGGCCTGGCCTGCCCGATCAATATTTACCGAGCACATTTAGCGCCGTATTCCAAGCGGCGATTTATGTTTTCATCTCTCGATTTTTTATTTTTTTGCAGTTTTCCATTTTCAGTTGCACTTATTTGTATTCATTTCCGACGGCTTTTATGCCTGGCGGCAGCGACACATTTATTTATGTATATTTTCAGCACTATCGTCACGTGCATATTTTTTAAGCTGGCGCTGACAAAAATTGCATTTGCCTATCGAAGAACCAACAACAATAAAAACAATAAATAACTGATATAACTGAAAAGTGTACGGGACAGCGATAAATGGCCCAGCTTTTAATTAAACAAAGTGTTCGACTGCTGGAAATGATATAACAAACATTTATATACAAACATTTATATCATTAGAAAATATTCGCATCATTAGAAAACATTTACATTATTTCATTCTTCGAACTATTTATAGATTTTTATCGGGCCGTCTGATCTGTAATATTTTGTATCACACTTATTAAGTTTGTCACGCCTGCTGCGTAGTTCAACACACCCACTTGACACCTTTTCTGGTTGCTGGGTTTGCAAAATAACATTCGTATGACAATAATATTTATCGGTCGGCGTTATTATGCGGTGCACGTGGCGTATGCGTAATAAATGCATTTAGCTTTTCAATTTCAAGAACTGAAAACCACATTAAACAATTTGTTTGAATGCCATACAAATATTGACGTAAAACGAGTAGTCACCAAATGTTTATACAATTTGTCAGCATGCAAAAGTTGCAGTTTTCATGTTTGTATATAAATAAAAATACAAGCTAGAAACTCGACATATTGAATGATATCCAACTTCCCCTAACTTTGCCATAACTTTGTCAAATCTCAACATATTTTTAAAAGCAAAGTCGTTTCGATCGTGGTTTGGCCTCGAGATCAATCCCACATCTTAAATTGAAAACATGATTTCAGGTGTCTTGTAAAAATTCTAGGCAAAATCTCGGCATATGGGCACTGGTCGAAGCCTCGTCAAAACTCAGCGGATTTTCAAAACTTCCACAAATTGAGTATTGTGAATAGCCATCGGCTGTGACCTCAATTCACCCATAGATTGATAAGAGCTCAGCTAATTGAACTTCAGATGAGTCAGTTAAAGACCCAACCCATTAAATACTACTCTAAGGCAGATTGTCTTAGTCAGCTTTTTAATTCTGTTGGCAATCAAATAATTTGCTGTCAAGTTAAATTTTTTGATATTATGTTTTGCCAAATTTGTCGCCTGAAGCGTCAATTTGATTGCTTTAGATTTGGATTTAGAATTTTATGATTTGCGTTTAATTTGTTGTTTGATTTGACGCGCTTCCAATTTGATGCTTGCCTTGACATTTAAATCAACAAATTTAAATATATATAAGCACATTGCATACAAATTGGCATGAATGCCCAAAATGGAGCATGGGAACGAACTCTTATTAATCACGCCCACACACACACATTCACACACACACATGTCAGTCGGTCAATAAATTGACGCAGACTTTACATAGCCGTTAAGTCAACAAATGTGTGGCAGTCGCAACGCGAGGCAGCTGACGCTATGCAGGATAAACAGTGTCAGGACTATAAATTACAGCTAAACGGAAATAATTTTCAATGCAAAAAGCAAAAAAAAAAAAAACTGGGCAATGCAAATGGAAATCAAAGTGAAAAATGTTTGTGTTTGCGTCTGGAAAGCGTATTTTCAACATGTTGGCAAACAATTTGATACCATGATTGAGCATAGAGTGCAGCCTCAAGGATTGAAGCAAATCCTTGCCAATGACTCATCCAGTTATAAGACTGGCATAATGTTCCTGTCATTATGATAGTAGCGAACGCGCAGCCAGATAAATTGTACACAGGGCAGCAAAATTGTTGAGGCTACAAATGATGGCATGAGTACGGACGCATGTAATATGTCTGGCCATTTGCTGGATACAGCTACGACTCCGTCTACGGCTCCGGGTCTTACAAACAAGATAAAACTTTTGATTTATTGTTGACATGAACAACAGACACAAACAATGGAGCCAGGCCCGAGCCTGTCGGGCAACAGCAGTAGCATCAGCAGCAGCAGCAGGGCGCAAAACGGACTACACAAATGCGTGCGTCCACCTACGCAGATGAGGAGGGGCGGGAGACGCAGGAGCAAAAGCTGGAAAGATGCATCATTTTAGGCAAATTGCCCAATTTCAGGGCTTACAGCTGGGAAGCCTGGTCAGCAACGTGAAAAGTGTCAACTGTGTCACAAACACGCTCCAAAAACTGGCAAACAAACATTCTTTTTTCTTTGTTTTCGGCAACTGAACGCTGCTCAGTGACCAAATATGTAGCTACTCCAGCTAAGCGAATTTTCCTCGTCAGAGAAAATGTGAAAGCCAACTTTTGTGTGGTGGAGCTCGAAGAATTTGTGCGTGTTTGCCTGTCATTAATTTGTGCAAATATTTGGCATAAATTAAAAACAGTTTTTGTGTGTGTACACTTTGCCGCAGCGTTGCAAATAATTAATCGAAAATAATTCAACAAAATTCAAGTGACATTTTGATGGCAACGTTAACACAAAATCCATAAAAAAAAAAGCCATAAACTGAAACTAAAATTGTAATTGAAACGAAGATCGAAGCAAAAACAAACAAATAATGGTATACCAAACGAATGGAGATTATAGAGACTGGGGCGACAGTTGGGCATGAATTCAAATGCATGACATCACTTCAGAGCAAATTTTTGTTGTTGTTGATGTCTGTTATTGTAGTTATTTGTAGTTAGTGTAGTTGTAGTTCAAGTGGTATTCGTGTGAAAAATAGAGGCTGACTTCGTTGTCGTTGTCGTTGTCGTTGTCACTGGCGCCTGCGCCACAAACGCAAATCTATTTATTTGGTCGATGACGCCAAGCTAACAATTTTTAATGCACACAATTGCTTTGTGGAAGGGGTGTAGGAGAGTTGGGGAATATCAGTCAGCCAGAGCGCATAGTTGGGCGCTGAGTACGTGTTGCGAGTCAATGTCAGTCCTAATGTGATTGATGCAGCCTGATATTGAGTCGAGCGCGAGAGCGAGAGCGAGCATATAAAAGATTATAACACAGCTTGACTCGGGATGCGAATAATGTGGAGCAGGTAGCTGTCTTTTTATTTGTGGAACGGAAATGATTAATAACTCAAAAAGGTGATGATGCATGCATGAAATGACCCAAAAAAAAAAAAAAAAACAGCTCCAATTGTCAGGCAATGCGTTGATTTTATGAACAATATGTGGAGTTACCACAAAACGGGTTGGGCCTTATGCAAACAGATGAGTCAGATATGGAACAAATATATATGATCCACTTAGCAATTAGCTAATATTTAACTAAATAACATAGTCTATATAACTAAGCTGTAGGGTATTTCTTTCACTTGACTGAAAGAGTGATTGCACAAATTCAACTCAACTAAACTCATTAAACAACTTTTTCAAAACTTAACTGGAAATTCATTTAAACTTGTGTGCACCAGCAACATCAACTGAAACCAACAATAACAATCAGCCAGCAAGTAAGCAAGTAAGCAAAACTTTAGATTCACTCGAATTCAATTAAAAGTGCAGCCTCATGCTAACTGTGCGTATGCGTGATATTGCGCATACGACCCAAAGGGCCTGACTGCGATCTGATATTAGTTATAAGATAAACTGTCAAAGGATTGTCAGTGCAGACAATGTTACTGCTGCTGGCAGCGCAACAGCCAAGCAACTGGAATGTACAGCATTAACCAAATGACTTTCACTTTTTTTTCGTGTAACTATTGCCGAACAAAATGCGAACAGAACGTCGACTATGTGGAAAGCGAACGCAACTGAAAGAGTCAAAAGTCAGTGGCATGACGAAGCTTCGGTTGGAATGCAATTATTAAGCAAAAAAGTTGAGAACCTGGCAAAACGGGACAAACTCAACTGCCACAGTCAAAACGGCATATCAGATGCGATATTGTAGCAGCCACGTAAGAAATACGTGCAGCTTCTCCACGCTGATAACTGATAGCACCAACTGAAGCATGTGAGTGGCAGCAAATGGATGAGAAAAAAATCACTGAAAAGCTGAAGCTATCAAGACCCCGTTGCAGCTGCAACTGTGGCTGAAATGCGTCTGGAGCTGCCAAAAGAAATGGAAATAGTATTTTTTTTTTGCTTTTTTGCAGGTCGAATGCGCCCTGAAGCGCTTTGAAAAGACAGATCAATCTTTTGGCTTAAACCAAATAGCTGTGGCACAATTAAGCTTAGTTTATGTCACAATTTCAAATCAAAGTACAGTAATATTAAATTGAATGAAACGCATTCTTCTAAATGAATACCAATTGGTTATGCGGTATGCAAATATCAGCTAAAGCTAAATTAAACGTGCAAAATAATAAACTAATTTATATAACAACCTAAATCATTAATGTTCTTATATGTATCAAATCCATAATTTAATAAATATTTCAGGGTATTATTCAGCCTCAAAAATACCAATACAATATATAGTTTTTGCCATTTCTTTGCCTCTTTTCGATATCCAATGGATGTGATCAATAAAAGTCGCTTAAATTAATTAAGAGCGGAAGCACAACTGCAATATGTATGCGAGAATATCTGAATATTTATGAAGTTAATACATTGCGTACACGATTATTTTAATGAAACAACAAACTGGAATTTATTTTAACATTTCTTATCGGTTTGCTTAATTTTTCCTGAATTTATGCTAATTATTTACTTAAATTAGTTGTCTACAACTAAATTAACTATGCCCAGAACGGGTTAACTTCGGTCGATCCGTATCAATTAGAATGTGTGTGTCGTGGGAGCAACAGTTGCCAAATCTAAAATATAGGAAGCAAGTTTTTATTTTGCTGTTTTGGTTTGCTTACGTTTTTTGTTTTGCGTTTCGTTGTTGCGACTTTGTAAGAATAATGTCGACAATTTGTTTTGCTATCCCAACCGGTTTGCAAGCTACCAAAATAAAACCTAATAATCCGAAAGCATTTTCAAGATTTATGAGGCAGCTGTTCGCATTGAACCCGCATCAAGAGGTTAAGACGAAAAGATGCTGCTGCTTTTCGCTTTCAATTGATTGGCTGACTGATTGATTGATTGACTGACTAGACGAGTGAGTGAGGATTGATGTGTGGGTGCTTATCTCAATTAAGAATTCACTCATCTAGCTTCCTAATGCTGTAAAGTGCTGATTGAATGATCTGCTCAAAATTTGTTTGCATTTATTATTAATTTGTATATACGAGCTGAGTAAAGCTTACTTAGATTTTTTGGAGTTTTTTGAACTATGCTTTGCATAAATATTAAGTGTGTTATTTCAAGGTTTATTTAAATTCAACTCAACGCTCACCATTCTCCAAATAATACCCAATCATTTAGTTTCGGTCTAAACACGCCCTTAACTCATTTATCACACATCAAAACAATTTTTTCAATTTTAAAATATATGCTCGGATTTGCAACATAAAACCCCCAAAAAGTTCTGCGTTCTTCGCATGTCGCTGCTTTTGAGAGATTTTAATTTTGATCTTAAGTTTTCGGCGAACAAGGCTATAAAAACATAAAGGGAGAACAGCGTCGCAGAATGTGGAGATAAAGGCTACCATGAATACCCTGGAATATTTAACTAAAGTGTAGAGAGTTATGTTGCTTCTACAATTCCCTGAAGTCTAGCAATTCAGTTGGCTATTTAGATATTATTTGTATAGAATCAATTTCTATTCTTTCCATTTTCATTATCATCACTTGCACAGTGGCAATAATTATTTACGCTGGGTATCTGGCCGTGGTGCACTCCCGAAAATGGCGGGGAACTCGTAAAATTTTGGAGTTCCATAAGCCTTTTTGGGCCCGTTGATTGATTTGTTTCGTGCGAGTTTTTGTCATTTACTGGGTCTGCTTACGATTTGAGTTTCCGAGAACTTGTTGAATTTATTGAAAAACAAATTAAAAACACATTTTCGATTGGGGCTATCCTAAAACCAAAGCAACAATGACTTCATCGCAGCTGCATGTCTCTGATGGATGTTGCGATAAATGCGTCGATGCTGTAATATATACATGCTGCTATATACATAAATACATACATAATGAACCAGACCCAGACCCAGACACAGACACACGCCCATCAAGTTCAAGATCAAGGTCAGCCAGACGTTCATTTTCAGTTGGGGGCATATGTACACAGTACATATGTATATGTGTATGTATGAATATGATGTAAATTGTCATCGAATGCCATTTGAATGTTGTTACCCACTCTGAGCTGCAATTCAAAGGCGGCCGTAAATCACTCAAATGTCGCCCACTTGCATATCATAAGAGAGTCAACAATTTTATGAGTGGCTTTACGACTAGTTGTGGGTGTTAGTTTGCCCGGCACTCGAGTACTTATATTGGCTATTCAAACAAATGTGCAGCGCGTATCAAGGCAGAATCTACATATGCATAGTATAGCTAGACCGAATAAACAAACTGACAACAATTACATCAGCAACTGAACCTGAGACGGTGACGGAGGCCTCTTGCCAATGTCAGGCGTTGTCTCCGACGTCATCGTTGAGGAATTCGTCTGTGTAACTCCAAACGGCCCCATGGGCTTCCCAACCAACCAGCGACAGTCGCAGTGTCTGCTAAAGCCGTCAAGCGGGTTGTGCGTGCCAATTGACTTGGGACTTAGAGCTAGGCATGGCGGCACTTTTAATTTGCTTATGTGCTGTTCACAAGCATGAATTATTTTAAAACACAAACAGCAAAATTATATATGATTAGTCGTGGAAATGACGCGCTCGTAATAACAATTGAAATGGCCAGCAGATTCGCGATGGATGCCACACACACACTGAGTTAGGCACAAACAATGAGCAGCTGTCTTAATTATATGATACAAACATATATCTAGTGCGGCACTTGGATAATGAAAGAGAGAAAGTTATATTTTTGTTTCGGTGGGAGTCGGAAAAATCACACAGGACTAACCATAAATCTTTCTACTTATTAAAATAGTTTCTTAATCATATATTTATATTAAGATCAATATTCACATTAGTCTTCTGCTGAACAGCTGCCAATTTTATTTCCTCATTTGCATTACCTACTAACTCTCCGTACTCATGTGACTAACTCACATGATGTGTGTTAACCGATAAAAAAAAGTGTATTAGTCATCTTTTGCTGTAACTTACAATGCGATGACCAGTTTTTCTTCCAAAGCAAGCACTTTTTGTATTGATATTGTTTCCAGAGTTGGTGCATACTAAATTACATGACAATTCCAGATACGAGACTGGCAAGTTTAAGAATAACTGAACTGTCCAATTCCAGAATTTCAAACATAGCTAGCATTTCAATATAATTCGTAGAGTAAGGAAATTTCGACGAAACGGCTAAAATAGAAAAGGAAATAAGAATTTTTGCTGCCGCTAAAAAGTATGCAAGAAATTAAGCCATTTAATAGGATCATAAATAGCTCGCCAAACTCAGCATGGAATTGATTGTGTGCATCTGTGATTATTGGAGATGCTACCACTACTATAATCGCCCGATCCCACCTCAATCCGCAGAGGAAACCAGGCAGGTAAATAGCAAGATTGTGCGCCGTTTGCTATTGGAGATGGATGCTGTTAGTGCCAACTATGTGCTGCGGGAACTGTTGCAGCAGCAGGTGCTGCGTCACTTGTTGCTGCACGAGCTTGGAGTAGAGCTGCTGTGGCTAAAATTGCGTCCACCCCAGCGCTCTGATGCCATCGACTACAAGTGGGCGAGCATGCTATCCCATACCATCTGGCAGCACATCGTATTGGAGCAACTGATGTGCTGGCTGTCCACGCTCGGCGGCGGCTATTCTGCGCTGGGCGACCAATTTGAACACTGCGCTCAGACAGCTGGTAAAATCTCGCTGCAGCAGCTGGCAATTGGTCTGCGTGTGGGCAATACTTTTCTACAGGCCCGCTGTAAGCTCTTCTACAGCATATCGCTCATTCAGCGTGGCCAACTGCGCCAGGCTAAGCATCTGATACGCTCCCAATATCGATTCGCAGGTGGAAAGGACAGCAAACATAAGAAACACGATCAGCGTCTGTTGCACATGTGCGAAGCCATTTGGCAGCGACTGTGCTATGAGTACGAACAGCGAAAGAGACGCCGTGATGAGTCTGTCAAAAGGTTTTAAAGCAAACCAGTTCGAGAATGTAGTTCCAATTATTTGCATTCTATTTGGAAAGCTAGAACCGAACCAGATTAAAAAAGTACAGCCAAACCTAAATCCGGTCCTCAATTTAGTTTGGCTCTCAGCAAAATTATTGGCATATTCAAAAATCCAGTTTTTATTCAAATAATTACAAAAACAAAACAAATAGTCATGTTTTAAATATGATATTTAAATAACATTTCGTTCAATTCAATTAAACAACAACACAATTGCAGCTGCATTTTTTACTAGACAAACAAATTGAAGCAAATCAGAAGCGCTAAAAAATATTATCGTTTTTCATCAATAGTTTTGAATGCTATGTGACTTGCATAATGATGCTTGGATTAATCAAGCTGCCAAGTTGAGTTGATTTCATTGGGGCTTCCAAAATATCAATAAACTACAAATAAAATGTATTTTATTATCCATACACAATCCACTTAATTATCAATTAACAATGACAATAAGCAAATTTTATGTCGTTTATTAATACAGAGCTCAAATGATATTTGACAATGCTCACGCACAGATTAAACTGTCTATTTGTCGAGCCCAATGGGCCAAGGCAAATTACAAAATGCAAATAAGCATATTGTAAATAAAATGCAGTGGCAACAACAACAGCAACAACATCAACTACCAACAGTAGCCAGCCAATGGCTAAAAGTGTTAAGTGGTAGTCGACACACACTAACAAAACTTGAGTTAAATGAGCCAAATGTGCTGACAGACAACAAGCCGAGTTGGTCAAGTAAGACATGGGCTCGTGCTGTTCTCGTTGTTTGGTCAGTTTGTGAATGCTTTTATGGTCAGCTAGTTAAGCGAGCGTCAAATTTGTTTATGAATGAATCGTTAATAAATCAAACAAATCCATTCAAAAATTTCTAGCGAGCTCAATTTATCATTTTGCGTTGGCGTCGCCATCACTCATCAGCGGAAACATTAAACTAGGGGTTTTTTTTTATTTTCTTGAATAAAATTAACATTTCTACATAATGTATGGTTATGATAAACAGCATAAGTTATTTCCGAGTTGCGAATTATGCAAATAATAATAAAAATTACCAATATTTAATTCACGTTTTCAGCACTTCAGCATACAAATAGCGATGTAAACAGTTGCCAACGGGATACAGACGAGAGCAAGGAAAATAAATTATAAACAACCAAAAGAAAAGACAAAAACAACAACAGCTGCAACAAGGAATTTTAAAGATGAGCAACAACCGCTGCCAAATGATGTTGAGCTGCCTAGTAATTACCTTAGGTTTATGTAAGTAAAATCCGCATTGTGCACCCAACCTATTAATACTAATATCATATTAACTACCTTCTCTGCAGTGGCTTGCACAAGCCAGGCACAATTACATTCGAGCGCTTCCAGGGCCGGTGTCAGCTTTGCACCGCAGGATGGGGGCGTGTCAGTGCCACCGAAAAAGGTGCACAATCATCGCATGTACGGCATGTGCCCGCCGCAATTTCAGCGCGTCGGCACCGATTGCTACTCGCTGGTGCAGCAGCCCAGCAACTGGCTGGAGGCGCACTTCTTCTGCAAGGATAAGAACGCCAATCTGGCCGAACCCACAAAGAAAGCGGACCGCAAGCTGAGATCCTATCTACAGCGACAGGATTCGCAGACGGGCGGTAAGTTAAAACATCAAGCTGGCAAACAAGGTCAGTGTCCGAAAGAAAGGTAAAGAGAAATGTCAGCTAATCTCGATGCTAGAACAACATAGCTTGTTTATGTAAACCAATTAAGTAACAGGAAATGCTAACTAGAAAGACTATAAAATTAAAAAATACAGAACAAAAAATCTTCAAGGAACGAAAAATTTATTTTTTTTTAAATTTATGAGGTATTTTTTAAGTTTTCATAATGGCTTTCACCGCCATCGAACAGAATTAAAGAAATATTACAGCTAACAATATATAGGATGGAATATATTCAAAGAGCTTAATAATATTAATAATCTTTCAATCTTGGTAGCGCATGACCCCATTTGGATTGGTGCTACCTATGACCATCACAACAATTACTGGCAATGGAGCGTCAGTGGTCGCAATTTGACCTACGATGCATTTAATCAGATGGATCCAACGTACGTATAAATGCACTTTAAACTAAATTTTGCACTTTGTTTTTGTGGTTCATTTAATTTTAAGCAACATTTTAGCTATGTGCAACTTTTCTCCGACAGCAACCCATTGGATAAAAATTGCGGTGTCTACGATCCAAATTTGAAATATCATTGGTCAGCACGCTCCTGCCCGGACAAACTGCGTTTCATATGCCAGCACAAGATGCCAAAAGTGAGTGAAGCAAATCGCTATAAGATCTACGATCGCTGGAATGTCACATATCCCAATGCATTGGCCAATGAGGTCGTACTGGAGGTCGTAGGCGGACGTGGCAAGGATGGCAGGTATGCAAAATAAACATAACAAAGCTGCAAGACAAGATCAAAAATTGTTAGCTAAATACTGAGTACGATGAACACAACGCACACCTTATGCAGTGGCTTCTGAAGCCAGTGGACTTTCGCTGGGCGCCTCTTCCGCTTCCTGCTTGATCGCATCCTCTGCGGCCAGATACTCATCCCATTTGTTTAGACGCTCGCTTGCCTCGGCCGCTGATTCGTCAATTCTGTATAAGAGTACACATAATGTTTTAGTTTTCAATTTGGTATATTTCGTAAGTGCAACTCACTTGTATTTCGTCTTGCCATCCCAGTGTTCAGCGCTTAGCTGACGCTGTCCAAAGTAGCGACCCTGCATCATTTGTATGACCACATCCGCCTCCTCCGGCGTTGACATGTTAATCTGTGCTATGCCTTCTTGATGACGCTGCAAAAGTAATATACAACAAATTAGATGTCAATGTAATTAAGTCTATACTATCATTTGAGCTTACATCATAGATGACCACTTTGCGCACCATGCCGCATTTGCCGCACTCATCGCGCAAATTATTTTGATACTCCAGAATAAGTTCCACTTCATTCTCAAAGAGTTCGGGCACAAACAGATTTTTGATGATAACCGTTTTCTCATTCTTTGAGCGCTCACCACGCATTTTGTCGGGTCGCCAGTCAAACAATCTGTGAATTAGAAATAATATTCAACTAGTTGTCTTCGACATCATTTTGTTTGTTTTACTTACTTTTCCTTGATTTTCTGCAACTTCTGCTTGTCCTTCTTTTTGCGCTTGGGCTTTAGCGCCGGATTGTATTCGCCACGCATTTGAAACTGTGCGCGCTGCACTCGAATCTTGTGACCCCTCAAATCATACTCATCTAGAATCTCCAGGGCCAAATTAACCGACTCCACCTGCAAGAGGAGAGTTCAAAGAGGCAAAATTTAGAAAATAAATATTAAATAACCGCTTAATAATAAAAGTGACTCTTTATACTCTTACATACAAAGCTTTCAGATTTTCCGAATTGAAACTAATAATATTGTTTACTTGTAGATATCAACGACTCGTTGTAGCCGAAGGCAGCGCCGAACAAATGACTATTCCCGGTCGCAGGCGTGCTGGCACTCGTCGCCACCCAGCGAAACATCCCAATGATGTTAACTATCGGCCTAAGAATCATACACACAAGCGACCAGGCGTGAGCTCAACTACGCCGTCAACTCCCGCGTTCTACAGAAGTGGTATACCATCTACAGCTGCAACCCAGCCCCGCAGACCCACAACTCACCCGCGTTTGACGCAATTCGATCGCAAGCTGCAGCGTCAGCGGGAGAGGGAGCTACGCAGGCAGTTGCGTAGGAAGGAGCGATTGGAGAGACGCCACAAGATGCTGGAAAAGAGACTTCTAAGCAAGGCAGCCGAGGAAAAGCATCATGAGCAACTGCAGCAGCATCAGCAGCAAAGTGAACCCGACGCATTGCGTCAGCGCAACATGGAGGAGCAGCAGAGACAGGAGCGCGAACACCACGAACAGCAATTACAAGTGGAGAAGCAGCGACGCAAGCAGAAACAAGAACAACTACGCGAACAGGAGAAGCAGCAACGCCAGCAAGAACAGGAACACGAGCTGGAGAAGCAGCAACGCCAGCAGGAACAGGAACGCGAACTGGAGAAGCAGCAACGCCAGCAGGAACAAGAAGGCGAACAGGAGCGACTAAAGCGGAAGCAGGTCGAAGATGAACGTCAACGTGTCATCGACGACGAAGCCCGTCAGATGCGCGAGGAGAGGCTGAGGAAGCAGCGGGAACGTGAGGCGGAGGAGAGAAAAGTACGCGAGGAGCAGCTGCGCAAGCAAAAGGCGGAACAGGATGAAATTGATCGACGCAACGCGGAGCAGCGTTTAGCCAATGAAAAGCGTCTGCGCGAGGAACATGAGAAGCGACTGCTCGAGGCCAAGTCGGAGCAGGAGCGGATATTGCAGGAGGCGCACGAGGCGAAGATACGCGAAGAAAAGGCTGTAGAGGAGGCGCTGGCGGAGAAGGAGCGCCAACGACAGGAGCAAATACGTCGCGCCCAGAAGGAGGAGGAGGAACGCCAGGAACTGGAGCAGTTCGAGAAGGAGCGTCTCTTCCAGCAGCGCGAAATCCAACGCCTGCGAGAGGAAGAAGCACGTCGTGAACAACTGACGCGACAGCGTCAAGCAGAGATTGAGCAACGGGAGGCGGAGGAGCGCAGGTTAGCCGAAGAAGAGGACCGAGTGCGCAAAGAGCTGGTGGAGGCGGAGAAGGCGCATAAGCGCCAACAGGAGTACGAAATCGAGCTCGCTGAACGGGAGCGCCAACAGCGGCAGGAAGCAGAAAAAGCAGCCGAAGCCGCCAAGACGCCACAGAGCGAAAGTCTACAGCAAGCCCTAAAGAGTGCCAACGATGATGTAGCTCAACAGTTGGAGGAAAAGCGTCGCAAGTATGCAGAACGTATCGCTGCACTGTCTCCCGAGGATCAGGAGAAGTTTATTGAGATGCGCAAGAAGCGCAAGCAGATGCGCGAGAAGCAGCTAATGGCAAGGGAGCAAACGAAGCTTAAGCGGATACAGGAGGCTATTCGCCTACACAGTATACAGTAAATCCCATGCACAGCCCCTATACATACACCCGGACAAACCCAGACAATCCCACACACACACACACACATACACACACACACACACACACACACACACACACACATACACACATACACACATACACACACACACACACACACCTACACACCTACACACACTAACCAACAGTTAAGAAAACATATCGTAAATATTTTTGGAAGCAAATTTGTTTTCATTCCTTCTTCTTAGATTCTTTTTGAATTTGTTTTGTTATTGTTTTATTGCTTTCGCACACACAAGTATTATTTACATTAGACAAACGAAAGTAAAAGTTTTGAATTCAAACAACAATAGCATTTGCAATAGTCGCACACTTTTTTGAAAATATTCGGATCGTGAAATATTTGTCAGGCAAAAGATGACTATATATAGTAATGTACAGCTAATATATATATATATACTATACATAAATATATATCTATATATATATATATATATATATATATATATATGATAAACTAGCATAGCAATACACTCAAATATACACACGCACACACATACACACACACACACACATACACAGTGTTTCCTTAATAACCAAAATAGCAATTAGCAAAAGCATTTTAAATAAATCGAAACAAAAGAAAGAAAATAAACAAATATAGCAACACAATTTTTTAAAAACAATTATATAGCACAGAACAATGAAAACTTATTTGGAGCAAGGATATAATGTTGGCTTAATCTTAAGCGGCTGGCAGCGGTCTCCTTCTCACCTCATTTTGTCTAAAATCTACTTAGAAGGCCAATCCTCTATCCCACAAGATTCTCCTACTGGCCAGGAAGCAATAATTTTAAGAAAGAAACAAAAGAAAAAATATGATAGGAGAGCTTTTTTGATAACAACTTATCTGTAACATGCCTAAAAGATTAAATAACAAAAATACAAGAAGAAGGAAAGCCACTGCAAAGGCTAAGCGAAACTATTATACTAACAAACTAGGTTATATAAATATATATTTTATATTTAATAATTATTGTATGCTTAAATGTAAAATTATTGTATTTTTTAATATGTACCTCAAATGCAAAACGGAAAAACAAACAACAAAAACAAAAAAAAAATGAAATGTTAGCCGTATAACATTAAGAAAGTCTCTCTCGCGATATGATTTCGTTTCAGATTGTGTTTTGTTTTTTTTTTTTATGTTTAATGAAAGAAAGTTGAGATGTGAAAAGCAATTTTTAGCAGCCAAGTAAATGCATTTTAAAATTACCAAGTAAACAAATACTAACCAATTTTAAACTACATATATATCATTATTATTATTATATTACTATAAACAACACAGAGATCAAAAATAGTCAGCGTAACTAAGGTGAATATTTATCAAATGAATATAAAGCAAAGAATACAAGATACAAGAACACAACAACTGAATATTATGAGCATCTTAAAATAATAATATATATAATAATAATAATAATAATATTGATAATACATATTAAAATATCTTTAATATTAATGCAAGCAGATTTAATTTAGTTAAACAAACAAATAAAGTTTTAAACAAAACACTGAAAAAAAAAACAAACAGCAAATCAATCGAGTTTATTTTTGATGTTTCGCAATATTTGATACAATATCTGGAGCATGTGGATATATACATATATAAATCGATATAAATTAAACACTTTATGCTGACTTAGAACTCACCTTGATATAATCGCACAAGCCATCGCCTTTGATTTGTCCATCCGCTTCGGTATACAATTTAAGTTTGTATTTCTGCGTTTGCGGATCTCGCATGACCAAACCACATTTGCCCATCAGCTCGGCAAACTCGTCGATGGTGATGTCCAGTGGCAAATTGGATACGTAGACCTTGGTGTTCTGCAGCGGATCCATCTCGAACCACTCTGAAAGCATAAGATTTGTATATTAAGTTGGAATTACACATCAAATTCAATTCGACTTACTTGGCGGATCCTGTGCCTTTCGTTTGCCAAGAGCTGTTGTTGCTGTTGGATCACCATCCTTGTCCATCAGTGGTGCATTCATGGCCGCCTGAGCTTCGGCTGTCATGCGTTTCAGTTCGTCCTCCTTGCGTTTGGCCTCAGCTGCTTCGCGTTCCGCCTTCTCGCGCTCCCCGGCACTGGTGTTGTCAATGAAACCATAGTTCATTTGATAGCGTGCCATAAAGTCATCATCGATCTTGGGGAACCAAGCGGATTTGCTCGCATCCCAAAAGAAGACGACACCATCTTTGTCCGTATAGGTGCGATCACCGTTCTCATCGACGCCATAGACCACATCCTGACCAGGTGACGCCTTCGTTGGCGGCTGCTTGGGCAGCCACTTTTGCTGCTCCGCATCCCATTTGTAGTGTTCCGTTTCTGTTGCGGTATTTGTCGACTGTTTCTTGGGCAGCCATTGCTGCGTCTTCTGACACCACTTGTAGTGCTCATTCTCATATGGATTGACAGCTGAAGACGCCTCATCGCCACTGAGTTGCCAATTGTTTTGCGTGTTGCACCATTTATATTTTTGCTTTGTGCTCGGATCCGTGTAAATTGCGCCACCATCGGCCGCATAGCTCACATGCTGTTCGTAGCCCGCAAAGTCCTGCGGCGAGGCCTGCAACGCGTCCTGGCCATGGACTGTATCGCCTGCTGCGTCTTTGGTTGTGGGGTCATTCATTTGGCTTTTAGTTTCACCTTTTGTGGCACCTCCTGTTGTTATTGGATATTCTTTTTCCTTTTCCTTTTCATTTTTACTTTTACTTTCGCTTGCAGGCTCAGTTTGCTGCTCCTCTGCTGGAGAGTTGGAGGCTGTTTCGTTTGCCTTGGTTGCTTCCATTGAAACAGTTTCACTTTCGTTGGGTTCCTCCCTCTTTGGACTTTCACTCTTGTCGCTCATTTTGTGTTTCTGTAATTATAGCGCACAAAAGCAGACTACGTGTTAGTTCTTTTTCAGTTAATTTCAAGCTAATTTCATATTTTTTGTTATTCTGAATTTCCTGCCCACATAATCATAAAGGCCACGCGAGTCGGCAAAATAAATTGGCGAAACGTGCTCATGACGTTGACAATGTGGACCCTACCAGTGCTAATGGGAAGCACAACAATCAAAACACCCAAATACATTGCGCGTTTTTCTCTTTTGCACCTTTTTGCTTTGGGTTTTTGTAAACACACACAGCCTGCCTTTGTTTGAGTGTGTGTACGTGTGGGTCAAGCTCTGAGGGTTAGCCAATAAAATATATATACCAAAAACAACAGATTCCTGTGAAAAGACGAATATAATTCCGTCAACAAAAGTAGGCAAAAATGCAGTAAAGCGTAACTGTAAGATACTCCTTAGGCGGAGCAGCTACGTGGATCAACTACGTGTTTCCTTTGTTCGAAGCCTGCTAACCAAAAAATTCCCTTTACAAATATTAAAATTATAAATAAAATTAATCATTCCACATCAGAAAACCTATAATAAAAATCGTTATATTAATGAAATACAAATATTAAAAATTTATAAATAAAATTAATCATTTCACAACAAAAAACCCATAAAAAAAATCTTTATATTCTCAATTTTCTCAAAACACGATGCAGATTTTTGAATAAACTTAACACTTCCAATACAATATATCACATATCATATATTATTTGCGTATAAAGATAGGCTGTCTACTGCTTTGAAAGTAATCTATTTACTTCGATTGCGGCAATATCTTCTTAAAGTATCATATATAACCTGTATGTTTGGAGATATGGCCAATAATTATCTTCTGCTGTCTTCTGCCGTTTTCTTCACACTTTGTACAACGAATAAATCAGTTTACAGGGTATGCAATCCATACTTGACAGCTGCTGAAGGTCAAGCAAACAATTCTATTATTTTCGGCTGCCAGCTTACCCCAAGAGCTTTTCATTTGCCACTTACAACTTACGTTGAATCGATTGTTTTGAACCACAGCGAATAGCAAGTTCAATCAACCGGTCAAAAACAACAGTTAGTGACTTGACTTGACTTGAGTTGAGTTGAGTTGACTTGGGTGCCCCCAAAATGCCGATTGATTTGTCACTAAGCATTCCAAGAGGGAGACACTTGAGAGTTCCAACAGCTGTTTCCGTTGTAGTTTACGTCAGTGGCAGCGGAAGACGTTCAATAGAGTTCAATGTACTTGTCGTTAATTATAAGAATTTGATGCCCGCATATACAATGCTATTTTTTCTTTAGATACTTCAACTAAAAATACGTTGAAGAACTTGTAGAATCGACCTCTGTTCGAGTTCAACGTAACGCGATTCTTGAGCAAATTTGCATTCGCATAAGATGTGGTTGGAGTTTGCGGAGTGTGGGGCAGTAACTGGCACATTGGCCGACAGTCGGCACACATATCGAAAATGGCGGCATGCAACAGCAGAAGCAGAAGCAGGCCCCCGCGCCGAACCATTAAGCTGACACCACCTCCTCTGTCTGTGGCAATAACTGCAGCCAGCTGAATACATAAAGTCCTTTGGACGATACTCATAAATTACACAGACAGGCTTTGGAGTGGATATATATAGTCATTATACGATTGTATATGTTTGTGTGTACATATGAGTCGACCACGTTGCACCTTCGTGCTGTGCAAAATGTGGGCAAACCCCATTGTCATATGATATAGTCAGTTTTTGTATTGGATTGCAGATCATAACTGCAACCAGTAGATAAGCAGTGCATGTGTCTGAATTATTGTCACAGATCAAATCAATATTGACTTGTTATGCCTTAAAACAACTCGCAACGAAACGGTTATATTTATACTGAATTCTTGATATATCTATATCTATATCTTCATTCTTCTTCATGGTTAAGATCTGGCTTTTAAAACACAAAATGTTTTGTTGCAAAAGTTTAATTATGTATTAGAAATTATGAAATACCATCTCTTAAATTCTTTGATTACTAAAGCCTAATTTCAAATGATTTTCAAAAATAGAAAAAATTCTAAAAAAGAGTTTTCTCCCAACTCAGAGAAACCCTGTAATCTATACAAAATTCAAAAGCAATCTTAGTATTTGCCACAACTAATGAGCTATATTCCAAGACGGCTCACTTTAAAAATCTATCCGTAAAGCAAATATTATCTATAGATTGGTAGGTGCAGCAAAATTGTATCACTTTTTAATGTCCATATAATAACAGTATTAATGACACACGCAGCAAATTGTTCTTGACATTTCAGGGGCAAGTTGAGACGCGACGCATTGCGATTGCATAAGACTTAAGTGGAAAGTTCTCATATGCAACCCAAGAAATCAATTAATTGACGCAAATTGTCTGCGAACAGTGCAAGTGGTGAGAGTTATTTCAAGTCGGTTAGCACGAATTAATTGCCTTTGGAGGCGCCTTTAAGACCATAAAACGAATAAACGAATCAGGCGACCTAAACCCAGTTTTTTTTTTTGTTCCCATTTTTCTTTCTTTTTTTTTTGGGGCCTACTACTTTGCATACAAAGTAAACGAATTAATTAAGTTTTAGTGGAGAAATCGGTAAAATTCTGGCAAACGTGGCTTCTGGCAAAAAAGTTGCCAAGCTGGTTATGCAAATGTCAACAGGTCAGCAAAAGGTAGGCGTTACAGCCCCAATGTGTAGATTTAAATACTATTTTATGTTATTTTTAACATTTGAGTTGAAGTTGTAGATTTGCGCACATTACTCACAAATGCCATTAATAATACGACTACATCAAGTAGGAGACCATAACCCCAACAAAACGTTCACAAACTGGAATAACTTAACCTGCCCGAGTAGCTGTAATTGTGAACAGAACAGAACAGAACCATCGAAGGTAGGGTGACTCACTACTGAGAGAGAGAGAGAGAGACAGAGAGAGAGAGGGGAGTAGTACACCAATGGGGCAACAAAAGACGCCTAAGCAACCAGGCGAACAGCACAAAACAATTTCATAGCATATTTATGGGGGGCAAGTCAGTCAGTCAGCTAACTAAAAAGGGCTTACAGAGAGGGGGCGTGTGTGTGTGTGTGTGTGTGTGTCGTAGTCGTAGTCGATGTCCTGGCTAGAAATGGGCAGCTCTTTGGCTAGCTTGACCAGTACTCGTCGAAACGTTCAACTGACCACAAGTGCCGATTGGGAATTCTGTCTAACAATAATTGTTCCAACAATTTGTCGCGAATATCTAAAACTTTCTAGCACGCAACTGACAAATGACATTGTTGTGTTTTTTTGTATATTAATGTGTGTGCATATTGTAGATAGTTGGTGTTAAATATTTCCAATGAGTTACCAGCTAAAATGCAGCCGGCACAATATGCAAATGCCTAATGCCAAAATCAATAAAGCCAGCAGAGAAACTTGAATAAATTCAAAACTAACAGGAATCAAAATATATATCGAGAATATATATATACATATATATATATATATATATATATATATATATATATAGTGTGGACAACAAGATGGATATACCCAGCAGCGGTGCCATATTTACGCTGGGCAAGTCCCATTTGGCGGAGAATACGCAAAGCTATTTCTATATAAAAAACGATCCGGTCAAGCGTTTGATATCCGGTCCGCATCAGAGTGCGGTTATATGCGGTAAATGGCTAAAACAACAACAACAACAACAATAGAAGAAAAAAAGTAGCAAACACAACACAAATGACCCCATTCCAACGGACAAGCAAACACGTTTCAGTTAGCCACCAACTGTCAGTCTAACCACCAACAGTCTGTCCCCCTGGGTGTCCCTCTGGCTGTCTGTCTGGCTGCCTGTCTGTCATGCAATCCTTCAATGCAAATGCCTAAACGCAGAGCCTTCTGCATATTTCAATGTGGTCAAATCGCCTGTCGACTGTCTTTTATGGTGTCTGTGGCATGCCGCCGCCTTCCGTTGCATGTTCGCTGCAATTTTCTTTAAATAATAATCACGCAGCGCACTTTCACTTTTATGTTAACCCAACAACTCGAGACCCAGGCCCAAAAGCGCCCAAGACGCTTCTTAGACCATAATAGGCCCATGTTGGCTAACTCGTCTGATTTCACGTTCATGCTGGCTTACATAAGTAACTGTATTGACCATATTGCGACGTATTAAAGCTGGCTTGAATAAGCATTTCAAATCACAACACAATCCGAACAATATGTGGCAACCTAATGAGGTCAGACGGGGCTGCTCCACTCAATATATGGGCCACACACACGAAGCATGTAAAATAAATAAATACCTTAGGAGCAAATGGGAAACAGAACCAAAGCCAAAAGCCAAAAGAGTAAAACTAAAATCCAACTCAGTTCGTAATTGAAACGTAAAGCGGGTCAGGTAAAAAAACAAGAACAAAAAACACACAAATGAATCCAGTTGGCGACTTGGACAGTTGTATAATTTGGGGATTGGCAGTGCTACACACACTCACACACACACACACACACTTAGAAAGTTTAATACTTTGACAAACACGCACAGAATCAATAAAAGTCACAAGTTGTTGGAAAACACAGAAAGCAACAGAGCGAGCCGAAAATTGGTAAAAGTTAATGTCAAAATGTTCTTATCAATTACAGAATCAGGACGTCTTTTTGTTTGGGGCGAGAATCACTATGGTCAGCTGGGCATTGGCGGACATGGCAACAAAAACAACAGCAACAACAACAACAACAACAATAACAATGGCGATATAGTCAATAAACCGACTTGCGTCAAATCGCTTAAAACTTTGGGCTTGAAGATAAGTGATGCCGCCTTTGGGAACAATTGGGCAGTGATAATGACACGTAAGTTTTTACAGGCCAAAGGGCTACAAAGTGCAGCCAGATAGAAGTAGAAAGTCATAAGTCATCAGTTGTGTGCCACGTGCACAGAACAATTCCAAAAACCTATAACAAATTAATTGCTAAATGATAGTAAAATTTAATTTAAAATAAAATGGTTATTGAATAACTGCAAAGGTAAATAATAATCAAAAGTGTGGACTACAATTTACAACTGGTGTTTTCTTCTCCATCTTATATTGTTTTTTATTTTATTTTATTTTCATTCTCATAGATATAACTATTTCAAGAAACCTTGAAACTTGAACAACTTGTTCATGAAATTCTAATTATTATTAAATTTGTGTAATAGACTGTTTAGCTATGAAGTGTTCTCATCAGCATCGCTAGCCAAGTTGATATAGATTTTCAAGGCAAACTTACTCAATACATTTTTTCACATTTGGATAAAACATCGTCGACATCGGACTACTATATCTTATAACTGAAATAAGAATGATAGTTTGACGAGTAATATAAAAAACTTTTTATTTATCAAGTTATCCTAACCAAAGTCACCAGTTATGCATTTTATAATGCGAAGAATTCGATCAATATCGGACAACTATATCTCAAATAGCTTTCCTAGGCACAATTGGTAAATGCTTTAAATTTATAGTGAAACTTAGATGACAATTTGGCTGCTAAAAGGGTATGTAACGGCGTGCCTAAAATGTCCTTCTAATTTTGTTGAACTTGTTATCTATAAGGCAAAATAAGATGCGTAAAACACGCTCAAATCGAATCGAGTTTTATGGGGACTATAAAAGCAATTGCTTCGCTTCTTACAGCACCCGTTTATATTATATTTACCCTTTGCAGTTTCGAACGAGATATTTTTTACGGGTCGCAACATTTTCCCCACGGACACCCATGTGGCGCAGCATTTTGTGGATGCGGTGGTGGAGCAGCAGCCATGTGCGATTATTCGAAAACCCTTTCGCCTCGAGGAGTTCGATGATTATCTATCAAAGAACGAGGAGACGGATAACTTTATTGCCCTGCAGGCGGGCAACGAGCATTTTGTGGTCTTGACCAGTGAGTATCCAAAGTGGAATGTATCCAAGTGGGGAAAGTATCCCAAATCAAATTCCAAACTTGTTGCAGCTAAGGGTCGCTTAATTGGCTGCGGATCGAATTCACAACAGCAACTGGGTGATCTGGAGGAGGATTACGATGGACATCCCGTGGAGATACGGCTGGATGCACTGGTCCAACAGTTTGCCTGTGGCCCACAGTCCACATTGGTGCTCACGGCCACCGGGAATCTGTTTCTCACTGGCCGCCTCAATGAGTTTGTCTTTCCCAAGTTTACGGAACTGCAGAAGAATCTCTCCCAAAGCGAGCAGATCATCTTCATGCACATATCGAAGGCCAGCGAGATCTTCATAGTGACCAATGTGGGCAACATTTATCGCAGCTTCGAATCGCTGCGAAATAAGAGTTTGGTCTTTCAGCGATTCTATGACTATGACAGCGAGGAGAACGGTCCCATTTGGAAGATGGTCAAGGGCTTCTCCTTCTATGCGGTGCTCAGCAAGGCCAACAAGTTCTTTACCACCTTCTCGGAGAGTGGCCATCATCTGAAAACGTTTCGCGAGATCTCCAAATTTAAAAATCTCCGACTGCTCGACATTGCCGTCGGGGATCAACACATCTTGGTGCAGGGCCTGCCCAGATCCTCCAATATGTCGGCTACAGTGGGTACACCCATGGAGCCGCACAGCTACATGAGTCGCAGCTTTGTGCTGCAGCCGAAGGATCTCAATGGCAATACAGAGTTGCGTGGCGCCAGCGGCAAAAGTCTCACCAAGCAGAAGGCCTTAAAGGAGCCGGAAACGGAGCCGGAGACGGAGGCGGAACCGGAGGGGCAACCAGAACCGAAGCCGGAGACGGGGAAAGGACTCAATGCAATGGGTGCCGGCGTTGCAGTTGCAACCGCAGGCGTGGCCACACTGGAGGCAGTGAAGCACATGTCCAAGGAATACGAAGCGGACCCAGAACCGGACCCAGAACCGGAGAACAAGCCACCATCAGAGCAGGAGGAAAAATTACAAACTGAGAATATCAATAACAATGTGGAGAAAGCAGATATCGAAGGCATTAAGACAATGGAGGAAGCAGTAGAAGATGTAAATGGAAACACAGAAATGGAAGAGCTCAAAAACAGCAAAGTGGAGCCGGAAATAATCAAGGAATCGGTTCCGATTGCAGCGGCAACAAGCGAAGCTATGATTGAGCCAGATGCCACGGAACAAGTGGAACCCTCAGCACCGCCGGAGAGTCCAGAAACTCAGCAGCAGACAACAGCAGACACCGATACCAATATAGCACGGTTGCCAACGCCACCAGTGGAATCGCCATCACCTCAGAAATCCCCGACAGAATCGCTGGGGTCAAGCAAATTTCCATCACAAGAGAAGCTGCCGTCGCAGGGCAGCCAAGAGAAGCAGCTGCGTCCACACACACCATATCCGGAGAGCAGCAATACGAGCACGCCACACACGATTAAGAGAACGCCCATACGCAACTTCTCCTACGAGGCGGCAATGCGACATGATGAGATCGAACGCACCTCACCCGAACTCGTTGATAGTCTGGACACCGTCGAGGAGAATCCGTTGGCGGAGAGTGTGCATCGCCAGGAGATACACATCTCAACGCCGACGCCACCAACCGAAGAGGATGAGCAGTTGGCGGTGGAAATAACAACCACCGAGGATGCACTGGACAGCAGCAAGGTGGTGAATGAGATACGTTTCATCAACAATGGCATCGATGTGACAGCCAAGGTGGAAGAGCAAATGCCTAATACACCACCTGAAACACTGGCCGATGCCGTTGAGGATCTGGAGTCGGAGGGTGAGCAGATGCTGCAAGAAATGGAGCAGCATGTGGACAAGGTGGTCAGTGCACAGAAGACAGAAGCTGAAAGCGTTGGCAATGCCATCGAATCCAAACTGCTGGAGACACGCAACTCCGTGCAGACGACCATGCAGAAAGCGGCCACAGGGGCACGCGATGCCGTCGAAGCTGCCGGCGACCGAATGGCGACGGGAGCACGCGACGCCGTCGATGCTGCCGGCACGGGTATGTCTCGCATGGCAGATGGCGTCCGGGATACCGTCGATGGGGCGGGCAAGGGTATGTTTCGCATGGCGGATGGCGTCCGGGATACCGTCGATGGGGCGGGACAGGGATTGTTTCGCATGGCGGATGGCGTCCGGGATACCGTCGATGGGGCGGGTAAGGGAATGCTTCGCATGGCAGATGGCGTCCGGGATACCGTCGATGGGGCGGGCCAGGGCTTGTTTCGCATGGCGGATGGCGTCCGAGATACTGTCGATGGGGCGGGCAGGAGTGTAGCCAAAGCGGCCGCCAGCACTAAGGAATCGATGGGCAAGGCCATGGACTCGATGACCAGCAAGATATCCAGCGAAATGCATGGCGCGAAAGAGAACCTATCATCGCTTTTTCAGATCAAGGCAGCCAAGGAGCAGAAGCAGGGCACAACAACGCCCACAACGACACCGGTGCGTGAGGAGACGGCAGCGGCCCAGAAGCGAACTAATGAGACGACAGCAGCCTCTGATGAGGGCGATGGCGAGGGCGAGGGGGAGGAAGATGAGCGTACTACAGCATCGGTGAACTCCAATCACAATTCCGCCGGACGCAATGGAAATGGCAACATCTTCGAGCCAATGAACAGCAATAGTCATGCTTTTGATGACGATCCACTCGATGCGGTCGTGGAGCGTGGCAAGAAGGCAATGCAGGAGGAGTTGCGCGCCCTGGAGGAGCAGCGCAATCAGGCCCAAGGCAGCACCAATAACAAGCAGCCGAATCAGCAGCGCCGCCAGAGCACGGACAGCAAGGGGATCGTCCAGCAGTTTTTAGATGGCATGCGTTTGTCATGCCGCAACGAGAAGGCCGTACAAATCGAAGGTGAGCATGGCAACAAATTCAAATCAAATTGCTTACCTGTTTAGTTTATTTTTTCTTCGATTTCAGATGAACCGCAGCCGCCGCATTACAGCAAAAACAAAGTGGACAGCGAGCTGAGTTTGCAGAATGGCCAAAATGCCGCACAGCAGCAGTCGTCGCGCGTGTGCACGATTTTATAAAATATGCAACGCCGTCAACGAGATCAACAAAAAGCAACCGTGCACTTTTATAAGCAATTGCATTTCATTTAAAGTAAACGTTTCAATTTCGCAATAAAACAACTTGTTTTAATCTACGCAACTATCGATTGTAGATAGCAACTATCGATTGAATATGACACGGGTCGAACGTTGACACGCGAATGGCAATCAGTGCTGTTGATTTAATTTTTAATTAAATATGATGGCAAGTCACAGAGACATCTATATATATTCGACATTATTCTCGTAAATTATAAATATTTTAGTTGAAATGATCAGCTTGCATTAGTTTACGCATTACCACGTGCAAAATTAGGTCATTTTGGTCACAATCTTAGGTAGGTGCGCACCTGTGACATGTCGCAGGTATACAATTTTGCCTTCTCTAGTTTGCACCAGTTCAATTGATCTTTTGTACCAGTTCATTCGCGTCTATTTGGTACGCAAACAGTAAAAGCATAAAAAAAACAATTTTTACTATTTTTCTACGTTTTTATAAATGAACACACAACAACAAATAATGCTTTAAAGCATAGTTTTAACTAAATTCATACCGAAAACCGTGCTAGGTGCACACTTGCCTGGCCCGCGAAAAATCCAATCAGAAAACGAAAAAGGCCAGCGACAGCACAAAATGGAAAGGTAGGTCAAAGAGTGAGCGCGCCCAGCGCACACACACAGAGTGTACATGCCCCGAAAATAAAAAAGCGCTCATCCAACCAGTGACTATTAGTGTTATTAAACATGTGAAAAATAGTGAAAATTTCAGTTGGCCCATAACCTCAAAAGAGTTTTTTTCTTTTGGTTTTTGCTGCTGCTGCTGCTGCTGTTATAATGTGAGTGCTTATGTAGATATGTGTGATTGTATGCGTATATGCGTGTGTGTGCGCGCGTACGTATGTATGTGTATGCCTGTGTGCTTGTGTGTGTGTGTCCGAGTGGCGCGTTGTGAAGACGTCGACGACGACTGAAAGTGGTTGTCGCTTGTGGGTGAAAGGAGGGGGACGCAGCGACAAGGTGAGAAGCGCGAACAACAAGATCAAATGTGGAAAAACTACTTTGAAGTGTGCACTTCACAAAAAAAAGGAACACACACAAATCCTGTTCTACAAAGGCGCCGCCAAAAAGGACGCCCCAGGGCAGTAAGGAGCAGCAAAGGCTATACTAAACTTTCGCAACCAAATATGAAAACAAATAAAAACAATGATAGAAAAACACATGTAATTCGCGAGAAAGTAACACGCTGTCAGTTCGCTCCACAATGCGTGTGAGTGTGTGTGTGTGTGTGAGTGTATGTGGTGAGTGCGATTGTGTGTATGAGTGCTATCTGTGTATGTGTGTGTGTGTGTGAGTGGGGGAAACGGCGACAACAGCAGCAGCAGCAATTGGAACGTGGAACCTGTCGGCGCACGTAAAAACCAGAGCCAAAAATTCAAATTACATGCATTGGGCGCGTTTTCAAATGCATAATCGCCATCACTTTTATAATTTATGCTAAACACTCGTTAACGCGAGCGCGCCACAGTGCGACAGAGAGTGTGAGAGAGGGAGGGAGAGGGAAGACGCGCAGAACTTTTGCCATAACAAAAGCAGACAGCAAAATGAACCTAAAATGAATAATTTAAATGGTATTATAATTTCTTAACATTTCGCAGTTAGTTTGGGAATTCCTCAAATATTTTTGCATACCAGAAGAAAAAAACCAATATATAAATAAAAAGTGAACATGTAAAGATGCCGCCAAACTATTCACTCGCTCTCCCGCGCTCTCATCAGTGTTGCGCAATATCACAAAATGAACAGTCACTGTGACGGGGAACAGCACAGGCACAGCTAAGGGAGTTAGCTGGTGCAAAATGTTGCTACTTAAGTCACTAAAGTCATAACAAAGGAAGGAATAAGATGATAATATATTTCTAAATAAGTTCCATCAGCATGTATTAAATGCTATTGTATATATACATATGTATTCTATTTGTTTATTGATCATTATTTACAATAATTTATTATTTGTTTTATCATATTTTTTTTAAGTAGAAAAAAATGGTAAAAACTAAGTGAAATCGAACAAGAAAGTACGACAAGTCACTGTTAAGTGAACTGTCACTGGCCACAATATTACTCATCTCTAATCTCACGCGCGCTCTCTCTCTCACACTCTCGTGCAGGCACTAACCAATACAACAACAAGAGCAGAGCCGCAGCAGCAGCAGAAACCACAACCAGGCCAGCCAGCATGTCGTGGCATTTGTGAGCAGCGCGCCAAAAAACTTGTCACGAAGTATCTTGTTATTGACGTACGCTCCCGCGCTTAAGAGCTACGCACCCGACCCAAACCCGCCTCGCCTCGCCTCCTCTCCACAACGCCCCCCCTCCACACAAAAAAAAAATTATCAGCAACCAATACCCGCCCAGTTCAAATCACGTCCAGTCCTAGTTGTGGCAAAGTTCGAGGCAGCTTATGATGCATATCAAGAGCCTGCCGCACGCACATCAGGCCGCCGCGGCAATGAGCAATTGTGACATTGTCATCGTTGCCGCGCAGCCGCAAACAACTAGCGCCAACAACAACAATGATACTGTTACACAGGCGAGTCATGCCAGCCATGTGGCAGCTGTGGCCCATGCCCAGCTCCAGCAACAACAGCATCAGCAACAACAACAGCAGCAGCAACAACAACAACAACAGCAGCAACAACAGCAGCAGCAGCAGCAACAACAACAGCAGCAGCAACAGCAGCAGCAGCAACAACAACAGCAGCAACACAATCAACAACAACAACAGCCGCCCGCGCCGACAGAAATCGCCTTACCCTTTAATATGCATTTGAGCGGAATTTCAGCGGAGGCACACAGTGCCGCACAGGCGGCCGCAATGGCAGCTGCGCAGGCCGCGGCAGCGCAAGCCGCCGCCGCGGATCAACAGCAGCCGGCGGCAGCGCCTCCATCGGCATCATCATCGCATACGCTGGCACACCTGGTTGCAAATGCCACACATAGTCCGACAACGCTTGCGGGCGAACCGCACTACGTCAGCAATGGGCATTCGGGCAATGAGCATTCGGGCGAGGGCAACGGTTCGAGTGGTGGCAGCGGCGGCGGTGGCGGCGGACGGGACCAGGAAAAGCCGTTCCATTGCACTGTGTGCGACAGGCGATTTCGTCAGCTGAGCACACTGACCAATCATGTGAAGATCCATACCGGCGAGAAGCCCTACAAATGCAACGTGTGTGATAAGACGTTCCGTCAATCGTCAACGCTGACGAATCATTTGAAAATTCATACTGGCGAAAAGCCGTACAATTGCAACTACTGTCCCAAGCATTTCCGTCAGCTGAGCACATTGGCCAATCATGTCAAGATTCATACGGGTGAGCGTATATTATTTTTGTAACACTTGTGTTCGCAGCTAATCCTAGCCTCCTTTGCAGGTGAAAAGCCGTTCGAATGCGTCATATGCAAGAAACAATTCCGGCAATCGAGCACGCTCAACAATCACATAAAGATCCATGTCATGGACAAGGTCTACGTTCCTGTCAAGATCAAAACGGAGGAGGACGAGGGGTGACTAGGACGCATGGCGTTGGCGCAACATCAGCATCTCCATCATCAACACCAGCAGCAGCAGCATCATCAACAGTCGTCAACGCCAACGCATCAACAGCAGCAACAACAACAACAACAACAGCAACAACACCACATCGAACATCAGCGTGGAGTTACTATTACAACACTTCCATCCACAACGACAGTCGCCCAGCATCAACAACAACAGCAGCAGCAACAGCAATCGCATCTGCAGCCCTCTCTTGGCAATGGCAGCTCACCGCATCATCATTTCAATGTAGCCGCATTGGGTGATTTGTCCAGCGCTATGCAATTGGGCGCTGTGACAGCCGATGGCAATTTTGTGACCATGGGCGGTGTTGTTGTAGGACGCATACAACATCCAAGGAGCGAGGAGCTGCAGCATCTCGGCGTCATCAAGGTGGAATCGCCAACGAATGTCATCAGCGGCTCAGTGACGGGCGGTCAACGCGATGGATGAGTCGATAGGCTGCTCCTCGAGCTAATGCTCAAGAAGAATGATCTGGAGAATGATATTGCGTGTGTGACGCTGGAGCAGTACCACCAGCAGCAGCATCAGCAAGAGCAGCTACGGCAACGGCGACGCTGCCATAAAACTTGAATCGTTGCTGCGATGTTGTTGCTGCCTGTTTGCTGCTGTCGTTGTTGCTGCTGTTGTTGTTGTTGTTGGTGTATACGCTTATGTTGTTGTTAGTTGTTTAGTAGTAGCGAAACATTGTTGTTGTTAAGGTTTAAAAGTGACTAAGAACTTACCAAGATGAATTATCAGGCTTTCTTACGGTTGTCGGCTCATTTCCAATTCGCAATATTTCACATAGCACACTGAAAGAGAGAGAGAGTTAAAGTTATACAATGTAAGTCATAATTCTTATGCAATTGTAATTAAAAAGTATTTTTCTCAAAAGCAATGAAATTTAGCGAATTTGAAATCTGTTTTCAAACCCCCCCAAAAAAAAGCATGGATTGTATATCAAGACGCTTCAAAAAATAGCTAAGAAAAGAGGCAAGAAAAACGTCACCAACAGCATCTAGCGCTCCAAGGTCTAATAAGTCGAAAGATCAGATATATATATACACACACACACATACATATATACACACACAGAGTCGTCAATAGCCAGAAACACACATATATGAGGCAATAGGTTTACAACAAGCTCCCCCTTAATCTTCTACCTATTCACATAATAACTAAATTACTGTAATTACTGATAGCGCAAAACTCCTAAGTACTAAAAAACAAAAAAATCATTGATTAAGCAAAAAGTCATTTCGTTTAAGTTGAAAGTATAAATATGCTTCACAAAGTGCAGAGAAAAAAACAAAACAAAACAAAATACGAAACACTAGAAATGTTTTTAAAGATTTGTTATATATAATACTATATGAAAAGAAAACTGATTTTTCAATTTCAAATTGTTCTTTAGCATTTAAAGTTTTAGAGATTGTTGTAAATTGTTTAGTGCGAGAATTCTGCTGCATTCGCTGAGACACTTGACATAGTCAACGCTGCCCATTGTTTTTTTAAAACATTTTTTAATAACATTTTTAAAAATATAAAAAAATCACCCTTTTTACAGTTGTAATTGTAGATCATTGTAAATGCCGCCATTTCGAAAGCAATTCGATTTGTATCTAAAGTAAACAAATTAAATTTGTTTTTTAAATACCTAGCCTAATTATTTAAATTGTGTTTTAAGCCCCCTTTTTTAACACCCATTATACACACACATCTAAACGAAATTTTAATTACCTTAAATGGCAGCAGAAGTAACCTAATAACGTAGTCTACAGATATAAACTATACTATAGGCTTTAGTTGATCCTTAGTTTGTATATTTTGGCGGGCACCTTTTGGCGCCCATAAAAGTGAGTTTTGTTAATTTTAAATATATAATTTTAGTCGTTATAGTTTTATTCTACAAATTGGCGCAATTTGAAAAAAAGCAATTATAAAAACAAAAAAACCATTCTGCTGATAGCCGTTTCGTTTTTTATGCTAGTTAATGGAGTAAACAAACAAACAAACAAATACACACACACACACAAACTATTACTAATGCTAATATTAATCATATAATATTGTGCGATAGCGAGCAACAAGTTCTGTACAAAGCCCAACTCCAATTTTGTATGTATAAAGTGACAGACGGAGAACAACAAATACGAAAATACTATTTTCTAAAAATATAAATTCTGCCTACTTTATTTTGTATGTTTTTTGTTGGTTATCTAAACACACTTTAAGTTCTCCCCCCACCACACAGCCGACTGAATACTCTTCACATTTTTTGTGTTTAAGATACTCTACAGTGAATTTTGAACAAGCGCAGCGAGAATTGTCAATTTTTGCATAAAGTTCCTAAAGACTTTTTAATAAACAATTTCAGTGCGCTAAAAATATTAAAAAAATGTATACGAGAAGATAATTTCAATAAACGTCTCGGTAAGAAAACGACGAACAAATAAAACATTAAAGAAAAGAAAAACACAGAATTAGTACATAAATGCATATACATAAATAATAAATGTTGATAAATGTGTAGTGTTAACAAGTGAATACAAACAAAAACGAAAATATAAGAAAAACCAACAAAAAACAATTGTAGCAACTAAATGTATAAGTGCAACAAGCTAAATATTCTAAATAACGCTTAAAGAACGTTTTGCGAACAACAAAAAGAAAATGAGAGAAAAAACCGAATGAAAAACAAACAACATTTGCCGGATTCCATATTTTCATATGCAGCAAAAACAGGATGCTTTGCATTGCTTTTTTTCACTGCTGTTTTGTATAGGCTAAAAAAACGAATAAAGGAAAACCGATGAAAGCAATGTGGAAGACTATAGGTATTGAATTTTTGACAATTATATATTTATAATATGGTGAACTGAGTAATTGAGATTGTTTACCTTGAAAGATGCAAGTCGAGTGCATTATTAAAAGATTGTTCAATTTCGTAAATAGTTTTTGTTGGTACTTTTTGTATAGAATCTAATTTTTTACACTCATTTTGCATTTGAATCAAAATAAATACCTGTCCCATTTTGTAATCAGATTGTGCTCAGATTCCTGTTCCTGTTCCGGCATTCCCCGCTCCACCCGCAACAATTGTATATGTATATTTTAAATGAGAGTAGGAGTTGTAGTGAGATTAGCACTTAAGCGCCTAATTTAAATAGTTGTGTGTACAATTTGAATGTAAAACAGCAGCAAAGAATTTAGACATAAAATGAACAAAGAACCGAGAAGAATCCAGGAGAAACTAAGTAGGCAAACAAAAAATACAGAGACAAAGCAAAATGCTTAAAAACAAAAAAAAAATATATATATATATATTTAAAAACAAAAAAAAAACGACTCGATAATATTGTATAATTATACACAAAATCTATATACTTATATGTATATGTATATATTTACATACATGCGTATATGTATGTATGTGCAGTAGCTGTATTTATATGTAAATGTGTATGTAATTGTGTATTTAGTTAAAAACATAAATATATATAAACATATATATATTTGCAAAAGAAAAACAAATGCCACAAGACATACAAAAAATACAAAAGTATGAAAGAAAAATATTTAATGAATTCTTATTGGATTTGGTTGGTTAATTTAAATTTCCGTTTAATTTGCACGAAATCGATAGTAAATCTTATGTTCACCGGTCACCGGTTTGCGACATAATTGTTCATCCCTATGCGATAGTTTGCACACAATTTTGATCGTTGAGGAGCCCTGAACAGAATTTTGCTAGAAACAAGCGAACGCTCTGTGAATTTAGGAAATAAATAAAACTTGCAAGAATGTTTCGTCTTCAACAATCACAGCCAGATCCAGCGGAGGAGCAGAAGCGAGTTGCGTCCGAGGTGCGAATGAATTTCTTCATGTTTGGAGCCCTTTGCCTGGCCATTCGCCTGGGTAAGTAAAGAAAACGTGCGATGCTTATGTAAATTAATATCTTTTTGATTAAATTCAATACTTCGTAAATTAAACAGCGCCCATTGCTCTGCAACATTTGAAAACCGCGTAGCAGTAATATGTATATTTGGAACTAGAAGGATGGCGATACAATTTTAAGTGCAAAAAAAACTAATTCAGATGCATTTATTCAAGCGCACGTGCACAATTTACGGCTCTCGATTCATAAGAGGAATACATCCATTAATGCACAGACGTTAGGGCTTTATGCTTCTTATTGCGCTTGTAATGTAAATAAAACGTTTCAAATAAATGCCATAAAAAACGCAAACAATTATTTATTTATGAGTCAAGACAGTTGCGGATATATCGATTTCAATATATCGCAAACAAGATGTGGCACTTTCCAGTACTGGCCCAAAACGTCAACTTGGTCACAACGAAACAACAAATACTGTATAAACAGTTGTCAGCAAAAAGAGTGGCCAACAGGCCATAATGAAAAAGTAAAATCAGCCACGCTCGCTTGCTGCTGACTCAGGCAAAAGCCAAAGCAATCCATTAGTCTGCCTCTCTGCGTTTGTGTGCAGATAACCAAATAACACAAAGAGCAAAAGCCGCAACAACAACAAACAGCGCAATACTCAAATTGGGGGAGAGCTTATGGCATATGGTACGACGACAACAAACACCACCAAAGTCGTAGATAAAATATTCTACAAACGGCCGGGTCGTGTACATGTAGCATTTACATTCCCATAATTATTTCCGGTGCCCCCCCATACACCGGGCGTATATGTTGAGTGTGAGTTGCAGATAATGGTTGCACCAAAATATCAGCGTCTCAGCAACGGCGACGTTGGCAGCGGGAATGATGGCGATAGCAACATTGACGAGTTAGAGCTGAGCCAACACTTGTCGCACCAAAATGCCACTAGCACCGCCAGTCAAGAGCATCGCCAGTCGTCGTCGCAAGCGAACTTCAAATACCCAACGGACTCTGCATCCACACAGCAGCAGCAACAGCAGCCGCCACACGTGGGTATGACGAGGCAAGCGGATGCAAGATTTAAGCAAATGGCCATGTGTTCACTGGTCATTGTGCTAATCTATCTGGTGCTGTCCATTGCGCTCACTTTCTATCAGACGGACATCATTCGGGATTACAGGTATCCACTGTCGATTGTCGTCTATCATCTGGTCTGGAAGTTTATGCTTGCTGCCCTCGTGCGGAACATCTTTAGGATGCGCTGGGGCAAGGCTCGCGTCCAGCTTGAGTGGAGGGTGGCATTGCGTAAATTGGCGCCAGCTGGCATTAGCAGCGGCATTGATATCGGTTTCTCCAATTGGGGCCTCGCCTTGGTGCCCATTTCATTGTACACAATGACAAAATCATCGACCATTGTCTTTATACTACTATTCGCCTTCATTCTGGGACTGGAGCGAAAGGTAAGTGCTAATCAAACACTCCATGCCATAAATAATTGAGTTAATAATTTGCAGAGCTGGTCACTGGTTCTTATTGTGGGTTTGATTGTATTGGGGCTGTTCATGTTCACATACAAGTCGACACAGTTTAAATCGCTCGGATTCATCTTTATACTGTTTGCCTCGCTATGCAGCGGATTGCGCTGGAGTTTTGCCCAGTTGATTATGCAGAAATACAAGCTGGGTCTCGACAATCCCATTGATATGATCTATCACATGCAGCCCTGGATGATTACAGCCCTCCTACCACTAGTGTATTTCAATGAAGGTGAGCAGTTGCGGATCATTTATGTTCTATATATTTATACAGCAATAATCCCCCTTTTTTCCCTTAAGGTTCCAAACTGTACACATTGATGGGAAGTCTGAATAGTTTCCCCATCGATCATATCGCTTGGGTTATAGCCCGCATTACACTGGGCGCATATATTGCCTTCTTAATGGAGGTCAGCGAATTTATGGTGTTGTGCAAGACGTCCAGCTTAACGCTGTCCATAGCGGGCATTTTTAAAGACATTTGCCAGGTGGCGCTAGCGGTGGAACTCAAAGGCGACCAGCTCTCATCTATCAATGTGGTCGGGCTGGCAGTGTGCCTGGTCGGCATTGGCTTCCACTTGGTGCACAAATACTCGAGCATGGAGAAGATGAGCAAGCAACAGTTGGCAACGCAAATGGAGGGCGGTGGCGAGGACATGGACACCGAGTATGACTTCAATAACAAGACCAATGCTGGCAATTCAACTGGCTCGCATGCCACGCTCACTGTGCCGCTACTAGAACAGACCGACTCGGAGGACGAATTGTCCAATGGTAACACAAGCAAAGAGAACGCTTCGGATGTCATTTTCGATGTGCTCAAGCGACGCGACATGCAGCGATGAAGTTTGGACATGTTTAGTTTCATGCACGAATTTGATTTAATTTATGTTTATCCTGGGGAACAGCCGGACAATTGTGATCAGGATCGACTGTTTGACCCTCTTGTAAATGTTGTAAATTCTGAAGCATTCAGCATTCCACTTCATTCTTGCTCTATACGCATATGTAAATTAATCAACAAGTCAGTTAGCTTTTGGCATTGGATTGCATTTAAATGCCCTTGTAGTTCATATAATTTTGTACATATGTAAATCAGACTTATCTTACCATAATCGATTTGTCCGTTTGCCTTTGCCTTTGCCGAAAGTTGCATTAACGTAATTTGATATACATTTCTGATTCCGTATCTAAACTAAACTAAACCCCCAAATCCGTTGCCATAAGAACAAAAGTTTGAAATAATAATTGAATTATCTACAAGGGTATTCCCAGTTCGGTGTGCCGGATATTTTTTAAAAAAATTATAATTGCTTTTTGAGTTACCACATTCCCCAGTCATTTTTTTGTATCCTATTCTCGACTTAGAAAAACGATGAAGCAGCTTATAGGTTTAGGTGTTATTAAATTTGTTTATTGGACAATTGTGCATATTTTTTGAATAGACGATCTTATAAGTTCCAGCGAAAACTGGCTCAACTACTACAGCTATAACAAATACGATAACTATAACTATAAATGTATGTCAATAAAAGAGTAACAACTATAAATGTTGTGTTTGTGATTTTAAGGCTCCTTTGTATTGGAGCAAAAATGTATAATTCATGGTTGATTATTATTGTTTAGTTGTGTAACCAATTCATCCGAGACACTTAATGTGGCCCGAAAACTTTTACGTTAATAGTTTTTACTCTTTATTTTTAATTTTGCGTCGCTGAATAAGCATCTTCTAATGTTGCACTTCGTTTGGTTTGCATTGGGATTGTGTCTTATTTTTCTAATTGTCGACTTTTGGTTGACTGGTGGTGGCTGGACTCCAGGCAGTGCATCGACGCGGATGATTTCCAACGATGAGGCGCATTTTAATGACACACTTTTAAGATTATTAGTTCCACGTTGGCTCGGCTCAATTGGCCATACGGATGTGTGCAACTTCCTTGTCGACGAACTTCATCATCTTGGTTTCAATGCCGTTCAAAATGAATTCACAGACCCGATTCCGATCACCAATGTGCTGGGAATCATGAATCCGAATGCAACGCATTTTCTAATGCTCAGTTGCCACTACGACTCCAAGTACTTGGAAGTAGCCGAAGAGTATGTGGCGGCTACCGATGGAGCCGTCTCCTGCGCCATTCTGCTGAATATGGCCAAAAGATTGAAATATTTTTTCTCAAGAGAGTTTTCGCAGCGAAAAGATATCGGTTTGTTGGTGAGTAGCTGGTAAAAAGTAATTTATTAGATTTCACTAAACTTATATTGTAAATTTAGCTGGTTTTCTTTGATGGTCACGACTCTGTGAATGGTATTACGGATATGACATATCCACTCTTTGGATCCAGCGGCTTTGTGGAATCGGAAACCATACCATTAAAACAGATCGTAAGTCTGTATTTATTCAATACTCGTTCAGTGCATTCTTTATTTGTGTCGCAGACATTGCTCATCTCACTCAATTTGATTGGCGCCCCCAATCACATATACATGAGCAGATATGAGCAAACATTCGGCATGCACGAGCGGATGGCCGAAATCGAGCTGGAGTTGCGCCAATTGGGTCTACTGAGCGAGTGCCACCAGCTGTTTTACAAGCTGAAGGATCATGACAGCGATATCGATGACGATCACAATTCGTTCCTTGAATCGGGTTTGTATTCATTGTAAACTACTGCTTAAGTGGCGGCAAGCTGGCTCACATTTAAATTTCGATAGGTGTGCCAGTGATGCATGTGGTGCCTCACACTTATCCCGAATTGTGGCTCCACGAAGATGATAATTTTGAGAATTTACATTGGCCAACAGTTCGTAATATGAACGCGATAATTACACGTTTCGTTTATGAATATTTCAAGAAAAACAATGGCTCGGATTTAAATGCAAAATAATAAGAAACATGTCATCAATGCCGCCCAATAAATTGTATAACATCGATATATCATCCGACTAAAATAGTTATCGATGATGTCGATAGCTGGTGAATGCAACGCTTTATTTATTTAAGCCAGCTGCTACAAACTGCGTTAAGCGCATTCCCGCGCTTTTCATGCTGGATTAGTTGCGAATTGTCTGCACATATGCACAACCACCGAAAATTGCAGCTATTTGGTTTTTCACTCGTCTTAAAACCATTGTAGCAGCCACACACACCACCCCAGCCATAAGTCAAGCCAAGCTGCCGCTCTTTCAACTTCTATTGTGAGTAAGAACGCATCGCACACGCATCATCATTGCCCCCGGGGGGTATGTGAAATGCCAAATCCTAACCTTACATACAACATAATGTCTATCGGTTGTATACATTTATTTATGTACATATTGGTTTGTGTTCGTTGTATTTAATTCTAGTTTTTGCTGAAATAAATTTGTGAAAAGAAAGATGCCACGACGCAAAGCACTGGCCAACACCAACAACGATGCCGCCGCGGACAAGGCGCTGCAGCCAACACGAGCAAAAAGGGCGCGAACCGTATTCAATCTAGAATTGCCGCATCGTCGGCAAATAATTGGCGATGTTTTGGTGTGCGGCGCTGGCGACACTGGACAGCTGGGACTCGGCGAAGATGTGCTCGAACGCAAGCGTCTGGCTCTGGTTGAGGGTATACCAAGGGCTGTGGATGTTTGTGCCGGCGGCATGCATTCTTTGGTCTTGACCAATAGTGGCGATATTTATTCATTTGGCTGCAACGATGAGGGCGCCTTGGGTCGCGACACCAAAGAGAAGGGCAGCGAATCGCGGCCGGCAATAATCGAGTTGCCTGGCAAAGCGCTCGCCATTTCGGCGGGTGATTCACATTCGGCTTGCTTGCTGGAGGATGGTCGTGTCTTTGCATGGGGCTCGTTCCGTGACTCGCATGGCAACATGGGACTGACAATCGATGGTAATAAGCGCACACCCATCAATCTGCTGGAGGGCAGCGTCTGTTGCAGCATTGCGTCGGGTGCCGATCATTTGGTTATATTGACAACGGCGGGAAAAGCGTTCACCGTAGGCTGTGCCGAGCAGGGCCAATTGGGACGGATCAGTGAGCGATCGGTTAATGGTGAAGGTAAGTCATTAAATATCACATGCGGACGAAGCAGATTAAATGCAGTTTTCATTATTTAATAGGTCGTCGCGGCAAACAAGATTTATTGCGGCCCGACGAGCTAATCATTAAGCGCACCAAGCCATTTGAAGCGATTTGGGCCACAAACTATTGCACTTTTGTGCGCGAATCGCAGACTGGCATTATTTGGGCCGTGGGCCTGAACAACTACAAGCAGCTGGCCCACGTCAAGGATATAGAACGCGTCCTCACCCCGATAAAGACGAATTTGAAGGATGTCAAGCAGATCGCTGGTGGTCAGCATCACACCCTTATCCTGGACAATGCTATGCGCTGCCTTGCAGTTGGCCGTCACAACTATGGTCGCTTGGGATTGGGCGATGTCAAGGATGTTGTGTCCGAGCCAACGGCAATTAAACAGCTTAACGGGAAGGCAGCATTTGTTGGCTGTGGCGAAACTGTCTCCTTTACGATTACCAACGATGGTAAACTGTATTCCTGGGGCATGGGCACCAATCTACAGCTGGGCGTTGGCGATGGTGACGATGAAATGGAGCCGGTCGAAGTGGTCAGCAAGAATACGCAAAACAAACGAATGCTGCTCGCCGATGGCGGGGGACAGCATAGTGTTTTTCTGGTAGAAGCCGCAGTCCAGGAGGCACAAAAGGAGAATGTACCAGCCACCAAGAAGACTGAAGCGAAACCAGCTGCTGCTGCTGCAGTTGGTGCCGCCGCCGCCGACGATAAAGCTGAGACGCAAAATGAGGACACAGTCGCCGCGGACAATGACAACGATGACCAAAATAATCCAACGCCGAGTGGTGCCACTAAGCCGGCCAAGAAGATGGCAGCCAAGCGAGGACGTGGCAAGAAGAATTAATTATTTTCATGGAACATCAATGGACGTTTCAATATTTGTTTTTAGCCGCACCGGAATATTATGCGCAGCTACGCTTCGCCAACTGTTTAAAAAGTTGATTTAATTGATTTTGTTTAATATATCTAATTGTAATAAATTTAAAATGAATTCGCAGAATGGCCCACAAGGCTATTGTAAATGTGAAAACAATAACTAAAAACGAAACTAAAACATTTATTTACAAACTAATCAACTTTTAATTCATTATCAATAATCGTCGTTAATAATTTACACATACTTTTATCATACATGAAGTTAGTAAATATATATATATATATATCAATTATTCTATTCAAGCGGCGGCTAACAAAAGTTATACAAATTTTGCTTCACATAAATGCAAAAGGCTTTTGGATGTTGTGTGCAGAGAGAGGGGAGGGGCGTTACTACTGATTTACTCAAATTTCAATACAAACAAGATTTTTATGTTTGCTCATCTAAATAATAACTGCATACATATTTACACAGATAAATATATATATGTAAAGTGTATATATATAAATACGTATATTCGTCAACTAGATTGGATTTGATTCTGCTGGATGAGGATTGTTCTGTGAGAATGCTGCGATTGGCGCAGAGTTGCTGATGATGATGCTGGTCATAACGAGAGACCCGTCATCGTTTGTGCTTGTGATTGAATATGGATTGACATCGGCGCCATCATTACTGTGACTGCCCAGATAGACGCTTAGTAGTAGAATGCCGCAAAGCAACGAGAGCGAGAGGAGCACACGTGCAATTTTACGTGCGAATGCAATAAGACCAAGCAGATGACCGCCATTGGCGACCCCGCCGCCAACCATTTGGACGCCAACATCTTGGCCACTGGTACGCAGCGACAATTGTAGGTGGGCGAGGAGTAACGCTTCCAAGCAATCAATATCATCATCAGTGTACTCCAGCCCAAGGCTTAGTTCACAAATGCAGTTGTTGTTGTTGTTGCTGTCGTCGTTTTTATTTTTATTGTTGTTGCTGTGTTGGTTTTGATCGCTGGCAGTGGCTTCGTCTTGCATGGTCAAATTGCATTGAGACAGTAAACATTATTTGTTCTTGGGACACGAAAATGCCTTCGAGCTCGCCTTATGCTCACAGCTACCGCCGCCCAAGCCCTGCATCTGATTGTACATCAGAAAGCAGAAGCCGGCAAACAGTAGCACTAATAATGCTAATGTTGCGTATTGTAAATTTGTGGTGAAGTTTAGCTTAGCTTCAATTTGATCGGCACGTTCCTTAAGGCCCTGTTCCTAATAAAAAACAAAGGAAAGGAAATGAAATTATCATCAGTATGGATTGGTTTCATTTCATTCACACACCTTTTCGCTCGCTCGTCCTAACTGATCGTCGCCCTTTTTCTTTTCATCCAGACGACAGACGAGACGATGATTTTCCACATCTGGATCCGTGGTGTCCTTTTGCCGCCACAATTCAGTTATTTCCGTGGCGCTGCTATCGATAGAGGGCGCAATCACTGCCATGACTAGAAATTTGTCTTTCGTATCGGTGCTGAGCTGATGATCCGGTTTTAGCCAGATGCTCACCTCGGCGATATCATTGGCTAGCACAACACCGCAGCGCGGACGTACTCGGAATTTATCCGGTGATGTGGTTTGGATCTGAAATGGGCAATTTAATCAGTTCTGGATAGAATTAGTTAGTGAAACTGAATGGGTTCTTACCTTATAGGCGACCGCTTCTTTGGAAATGTTTGTGAGCTTCAGCTTTGCCTCGCCACTCTGTGGGCAAATGTTGACATACTCGTTGGGCTCCAATTGCAACATACCTATGCAGCAGACGAAATATTATATATATATATATGATTAATAAACTATACAATTTTTTGTAAAAATTTCTTTACTCGAACCAAACAACAAATTCTCAATAAAATTTCAGTGTGTTCAATTAGACTGATTTTTAAAGCAATGTTTGATATGATGCTAGGTGGAAAGTCTATATAAATATATATTTATTTTTGTTATATTATGACTTAGACTTACCCATATCGGAATCGCTCGGATTGCGTGGCGTCTGTGTAACGCTCTTGGCGAAATGAACCTGACAAAAAGCGAGATACACACAAATGAAAGATAGTTTGTATTTTAGTTCGAGCTGTTAAAACGGGCTAGGGGATGGGAGGAGGTAGGGGGAGTCAGCCCTTCTATTGCTCATGCCAAGATTAAATGTGAATCGATTCATGCTGAGCTCGGCACTTTCGCCGCAAGTGTCTTTCTCACACTTTCAGCAGCACTTGAGCACACAGCTGGAGGCCGTGCGGTTTTTTGCCAATTGCACTGATTTACTTTGAAACAATACATACACGCCTAGCAGCTAGTATCAACTACACTATTATACATTATTAAGTTGTTTAGAATTATCATTAATAGCGCACCTTAGTTATAATGGTCGACACTTTGACTACGTTAATAGAACTTTAGTTATTGTTATTGCTGTTAAGTAAATTGTTAATCTAATGCTAAATGGAATGTTATGTTAAGCAACTGTTATCGATACATTAAAACTGGCTGCTGGAGAAATGTTTTCGATGTTTCCATTTTACTTCTCATATTTTCGCTATGCTAAAAGTCCTTTAAGAAACAGTTGATACAACTGGAATGCATAAATAGCTTATTTTATGCTTCAGATAATTATTTAAATATGTTGTTTGGCTAAAATGTCTCAGCAATGCCATTTTTAATGGACACCGTTGTTTGGAAAAAAGGTTTTGTTGATTAAAATAAATTTAGGAAACAACGGTGCTTTGTAGTTTCTTTGGCTTTTTATAACAATGCAGTGGAAAATTGCATTCAAGCATTTTTCGTTTGAATTTTGTGCAGCCAACTTGATAAGAATATATCGATAACGTCAGCGTGACATAGCAGCCAGCAATACAGTGGCCTCAGCAGCATCTGCTCAATAAGAAAAATCCAAACGGTTTTAAAACAAAGCATCAAATTAAAACTGAATCTGATTATAAGCGTAGAGCCTGAAGTGTTGCATGTAGCTGGCAAGGTTAAATTCGAGACGGCTTGTCTTGCATATCAATTAGAATGAATTTTACTTTTTATACATTTTCGGTTTCTTTGTTATGCTTTGTTTAGCATTTGCGGCACACCCATGATCATCACGCACGCACACACACACATACATATGTATGTATATTTATATAAATATACATATATATATAGCTAAACGTCACCTACCCTGGGCATGTCTGCTGGTTTCTTTTGCTTTCTTTTTAGTTGTTCACAAGTATATTACTAGCGACTTGTTAAGTACGCACAATGCCACAACACAACTTTTTAATATCGGATGTTTAGCAAATGCATTGATATTTCTAATGGCGACGTTTCCGAGACAAATGTGGAACCACAACTGAAAGCACGGCAAAAGCAACAACACAACACAAAACCGAAAAGCTCGCTGGCACAGCCAAAAGCTCTTGCACTGCGATCAACAGCTGTTAGCTGTTAACTCAATTGCAATCAGAATGAATAAATTGAACTCAAGTTAATTTAATGATGTAGGTAAATAAAATGCGGGCGAGAGAAACTCGAGTGAATAAAAAGAGCGAATGTATAATTCAGTTACTCAGACAATGACGTCGACCCATCTGCCTCTGGGAATTCGTTTTAATGTATGCCATAAGTGTTCTAATTTTTTTTTGTTTTTGTTTTTCTGCTTTTTGTGTTTACAGGTCAACGCCTCGCAACGCTTCACTGACCATTCAGAATTCTGACAAAGGAAAGCCAAATTTTATTTTTCTTTGCGCAATATGTCAAATGGGTAGCGCTATAAATAGCCGTAACTGTGTTTGCCAATGGCTCTATTATCCTCCGTGCGAAGGACACGCAACTTGTCGAGCAACTTGCGGCACCCTAAATCAATACACATACGCTTCTAATGTAAATCAATTAAAGGAGAGGCAAATGTTGCCTGCGTCAGGAAAAACAATTAATTGAGCAGACTTCCGGCTAAAAGAGCTCACCTCAACACACACCCCAAATACACAATGTGTGTGTGTGTAACGGCTTTCACTCACCTTTTTATCCAAGTCCATATCCTGATGATGATGGGGCTGGTCATCGTCACCGGCATTGGCTGCCATCGATTTGGGAGGCACACTTTTGGACTCTGGCACAAATTGAAACTCGTAATCGTCATGGCCACCCCACATGACAGGACATTTATCTGGGGGCACATACTGAGTGACGTCCTTTTTCGATATCATTTTTAAAATCTCAACGGCTTTCGGGGGCAGCAGAGCTTTGATGACCCGAAAGGCAGCTAGAAAGTGCGAACAATCAGCAAAAGCTCCGCTTAAAAGCTTTGCTGTCCATGAGCTTACCATTGAGTATCCAGGCGAGCTCGAATACCAGGATATAGTTGAGCGAATTGGGATAATAGAGCTTAAAGGTCTCCACAACACGTCGCACAAAGTCCACATCCATAGTGGCCAGCCCAGTGCCAGCCATGTCAAAGACCAGAGTCAGTTGGGTCAAATGGTTTTCGCGCTGCTGCCGCTCAATCCAATAGACGACGATGCGAATGAGCTCATCCAGATTCTTGGTTTTGCTATGCAGCTTGACACGAAAGATGAGCAGCGGCTTCCCATCCACATCCTGGCTGTGCACATAGATGCAACCCTCTCTCAAGTACTCCTGGTTGAGATCTGCCTCGGTTAGATCATTGGTACCATATGACAGACGCCACTGGCACGTTTCCCAGAGTTTGGTAAGAGACGTCTCCACATCCAGATCGTATTGCTCCAGAAAGCGTTGCAGCCACAAATGATCATTGCGTATGCGATCAATGTCAATGGGATGAAACGGCTCTAATATAATATAATTATTATTATTTCAATTGAAAACTATTAATGTAGAACCGTTGTATATATAGATGAGGTTTTATCAACTATTTTTCTAGTTGTTTACAATTGGCTAACATCGAAGAACAAGCTGTAATCAGTTGTTAATATATATTTATGTTGAATACCAATCAAATCAAAAATAAACCGTATCTTTGGCGCCCTAAAGATTAAATACCAACACAGATATTATGTATGTATAAAATTCATATGTGTTCCGAAATAAATGTATTATTTATTAATACATATAATATATTAAATTTACCTTAGCAACTTTTCGATTATCATTGATGACTGTGAATAGGTTGCCCGTTTGTTGTTGTGGCATATATTTACTTTATTTATTTTGTAAATACGATAAAGCTTATGGATACAGCACTTATTTGTCATACTGGTTTACTGGCTACAACCTTGCCCATTGCCCCTTGCCCCAAGGGCAACCTGTACACACCTGTCAGCTGCGACGCGGCATATTTTTTGTTGAACTTTTGACGCAATTCCTCAATTTGCGAACTGTTGGGAATTTTAGTTTTGGGGGCCATTGCTTTAGCACTCGATGCCGACGACAATTGAACGCAGACTGAACATGGAACACGGAGCAACAGTCAAGTGTGTTACTGTTTCTTGTATCTTGTATGTATCTTTGCTTATCGCGCGCACTTCTAATCAATAATCCACTTTCTCAGCTAAGCAATAAATGCGATTAGATTTTCGTGGTCGATAATTCGACGAGCGAAAGGCGACAAGCGACAATTAAACGATTGCAAGTGCTTCGCACGAGCTTTGGTAACTAACTAACTAACGGTGCTTGTCGATGAACCGATCGTCGTTGACGGTCGGCCTACGTGCTATGCGCGATGTGGAGCACCCAACCATACGCCAATGGGATGCCTTGAAATGGGCAGTCGTCGCTGTCCGCTGCTGCTGCAATAGAACGTGATCGCTAACCCAAGCCGCGGCTGCATTTAAATGAGTTTTAAGCTTTCGCTATCCCACCAAAGCTTCCACTTGTTGAGCGCATGTTTAACTCAATGCACTAAATAGTTTTGCAGTTTGAGCTGCACTTGGTATAAAAAAGCTTTCGTTATTGTTAAATGAACTGATATAATAAATATCGTATTATTTACAATATATTTAAAATATGTACACTTTGGACTCAGTTTGTTGCAAACCTAAACGTGTAGTCATCGTTGCCGCCCCAGGCCTTCAAACAGTTATCCTTATCGACATACTCATTAATATCCTTTTTAGTTGTCACGCGCAGAATTTCCAATGCCTCCGCGGGCATAAAACCCTTCACAATTTTAAATGCCGCTAAAAGGGGAATTTTTATAAATGAAAATATAAAAAAAAACTTAATTTCCACCTGAAAACTCACCATTGAGGAGGAAAGGCAGCTCATGAACCACAATGTGGTTGGGCGCATTGGGATACTTGGTCTCGAATAATTGTATAATCTGCTTGATGTAGTCCAGATCCAAGTTGCCCAGGCCCGCATTGGTCATGTCCATGAAGAGTGTCACCTTCTGGAGGTAAACTTCGCGCTGCACACGCTCCAACCAATAGACAATGACACGCAACAGATCGTCATGATTCTTGCTCTTCGAGTGCTTGGACATGTCCACAATGAGCAGCGGATGACCGTCCTTATCGTGGTTATGCACAAAGATTTCGCCATCCTTCAGATACTCCTGATTCACATTGGACTCGTTAATGTCGTTGGTGCCATAACTCTGACGCCATTCACAATTCTGATAGAGACGTAAGATTGCCTTCTCCACATCCAGTTTGTATGCCACCAGGAGACGGGTTATCCAGACATCGTTATCCTTGATACGCGCCAGATCGCTAGGATGAAACGGAACTGGAACAGAGAGAGGGAGAGAGAGAGAGAGAGGGAAAGGTGGAGAATGAGGGAAGTTGTAAATTGAAGGTGTTAATCTTATAATTATATTTAATTTAATTACCTGCTGGTGGCTCCGCTTCCATTTTGGCCAGGAAACGGGTCTTCACCTCGTTGACCTGCTCTGCGCTCGGCTGGACTGCTTGCGACATCTTGAACTGCGTTGGACTGATTTGGACGCAATGCCCTGCGTTGAATTTATATCAAACAAAGCGCTCGACAATTATTTCAGTGCAACTGTGCTCGATCCACTAATCGCTGATAAGATATACTTGAAGATGGGAGGCGGGGTGGGGTGAGGTATGGGGTTGTTCTCTCTTCGTGAATGACTCGTCGGTACGCAGGCCAATCAAGAACTAACAGCAGCAACTGGAGCAAGATACATTTACGACACTTCGCCCTCTCTCTCTTCGCTCTCTCTCTCTTTCTCTCTCTCTATTTCTCTTTCGGTCTCCGTTCCATGCTCTCTGACCCGATCATGCAGGCGAGCCGACAATCTATGCGGGAGGCAGCCGAACTAGACCGTTCTTTAATCAATCTAAATGAAGAAATTAACAGAGTAAAATGCACGAGCAAATAACCGATACCGGAAGAGCTCGGGGTAAGCCGATAATTGCGATAAGACGAAGCAGGGCAGAGAGCAAGCGAGCGAGAGGATCGATTTGACTTCTATTCTACCCGAAAACTGATTTTTATTATTGCAACCGTAATTGGATCTTATAATATAAATACACGTGTATGTGTGCGTGTATGTATGTGTATATTTATGTGTATTTGCATTTGTAAATATTTGTGTGTAGATAGAACCCATTGGAAACACTTGCATGAGGAATGGTATAAAACGTGTAAAACTTTGAAACTTGGGCCCTCGCTCTCTCTCTCTCTCTCTCTCTCTCTCTCTCTCTCTCCTCTCTCTCTTTCCTCTCTCTCTCTCTATTTCTCTCTCTCTTACTGGGCAATATTGGGGGTATATTGAGGTATTCCATATCATAAATAAATTATCCAACTGCTAATAAGTATATATCAGTGCAGTGAATTTTGATAAAAATACCCATTTGCATCTAGGCTTATGTTTTTTAGGCTAATGATATTTTTGTATAACTATTCAGAATACAAATAAGTTTGGGTATCTTAATGACCCTTCACATAAGTTAGATAAATTTTCTAGACTTCGATAGATTGTCTTGCTTTTTAAAATCGGGTTAGTTGTGTCAAAATTCCAATTGTGCATTTTTTTTTTGTTTTTTGTCTTATCTTCAATGAAGTGTCGAGCCGTACAATTTTGAGAAAATATGGTCACTTTAAATACAGTAATTAATTTTAGCTGCATTGCTTTTAAAAATTGTTTCAATTCTGACAAAGTTAATTCTTAATTGCTTAAAGTTATGGCTCAAGTATTAGCCAAGATTTCGCTTTTTCAAAACGAAATCGTTTTCTATTTTGGCAATTTGTTTTTTGTTGACATTGGTCAGCGAACGCTGCGATGGATGACAGCAGAGGGCAATAGCAACTTTTACATATTGAAAGCTCCTTCGTTGGCGCCCCTAGATCTCCACCCCCCCAACCTCCTTCTCCGCCAGTTGCCCCCTCTGGCATCCATTAACTATTGCCTGGCATTCAGACCATCATCGAAAACTTTCGTTGGCGTTTGGCCCAGTTGTGTTGTTTACGTGAAAACGTGCGCGTGGAACGCCAACGTTGTCCGTCTTCTGTTGTGGTCCAATGCGGATGCAGTGCAGCTGGAGTGAGCTAAGCGGCTGAACATGAAGTTTGCCGAGCATTTGGGGGCGCATATAACGCCAGAGTGGCGCAAGCAATATATTAACTATGAGGTAAAACATAATGTAGGCGAATCACAAGAAAAAAAAAAGAAGAGAAGAAAAATGTGTATCCCATTGAGATGGGTGAGCGAGTGCTTTTCACAGCTGTCAGTGTGCCAATGACGTCAGCGTGAAAAACGACTCTCCAGCTGTCAAAAAGTTTGCGAAAAGCTTTATTGGCGCATGCGCTTCCCACATGCTTCTCTCAATCGCGCGTTTTGTTGTGCTCGCCACAAACGTAAACAAACACAAAGGCCGCACAGTGTTTGAGAAAAGTGCATAGACACATGTTAGTGAACATGACTCAGTTCCGGTGTAAATCGAACAGAGTGATTCGATATTACCAATCGAAAACGTAGCTATCTAAATATCGATTTATTATTTGTCGATAGGAAATGAAGGCCATGCTGTATGCAGCCATCGAACAGGCGCCATCCGCTGAGCTGGTGGATCGCGAGATGCTCACACGATATTTTGCCAAATTCGACGAGGACTTCTTTCTCTATTGCGACAAAGAGCTGGCCAAGATCAATACCTTCTACTCGGAAAAGATGGCGGAGGCAACACGCAAATATGGCAATCTGCGCAGCGAATTGACTGAGGCACTCGAAATGGGCCATGTGAAGAAGCAGCCGGCATGGAAGCGACGCACACCGCTGGGCAAGAAGAATGTGCCCGCCCGCAAGATACAGGATCTCAAGTTGGCATTTAGCGAGTTCTATTTGGGACTAATCCTATTGCAGAACTATCAGAATCTCAATTTTACTGGCTTTCGCAAGATTCTCAAGAAGCACGACAAATTGCTCAGTGTGGAATATGGAGCACGTTGGCGCACGGATCACGTGGAGGCGGCCCATTTCTACACAAACAAGGATATAGACCGACTCATTCAGGAAACTGAACAGGCGGTCACCCAGGACATCGAAGGCGGCGATAGACAGCGTTAGTATTGGAAATACTTGATTTTTTTTATACATTTATTTTGGAGAACTTACAGAATAAATTTTCTATTTTGCTTATCGAGGCTGCCTCATTGATATTTTCTAGGTGCCATGAAGCGACTGAGAGTTCCGCCGCTCGGCGAGCAGCAGAGTCCTTGGACCACCTTCAAGGTTGGCCTATTTTCGGGCGCATTTGTGGTGCTCTTCGTCACCGTTATCATATCGGCCATGTTCTATGGCTTTGGTGAGAATTGGCGAGTGGGATTGCGCATGTTCCGAGCTCCACTTCTCATCACCGAGTGCCTCTTCCTTTGGGGCGTGAATGTTTATGGCTGGCGCTCGTCTGGGGTCAACCATGTGCTCATCTTTGAGCTGGATCCCCGCAATCATCTTTCCGAGCAGAATATTATGGAGATTGCTTCCGTATTTGGGGTGATTTGGGCCTGCTGTGTCCTATGCTATATATTCTGTGACCCCTTGGGCATTCCGCAGTATGCAGCTCCGCTGTTTCTCTACACCTTGATGGTCGCCTTTCTGCTGAATCCCACCAGGACATTTCATCACGAGGCCCGCTATTGGGCGCTTCGGGTTCTCGGTCGCGTCATCATGGCACCCTTCTGCTTTGTTACCTTTGCGGACTTCTGGCTGGCCGATCAATTGAATAGTATGGTGCCCGCATTTCTGGATATACCCTTTCTGATGTGCTTCTTTGGTCGCAATCCGACTTGGCACAAAGCCGGCCAAGGTGAGTAATAGGCCATAAAAATCTATTTATTGAACTAATTTAACAATTTTATTTATAATTCACTTTCAAACTTTATAAAAGAAATATGATTTTAATGCATAAATTAAATTTTAAAGAAATATAATAATAATCGTACTTGAACTTTTTCGCTAAAATAAACCCTCAAACATCAACAAAAGACGATTTTACTGCTCAAATTAAATTTTTAAAAATCTAACAAGAATCGGACTTGAACTTTGAAGAAATTGTATACATTCAATTCATAAAGAATATTTGTATGTAGTAATTTACTAAATCGACTTACATCAATTTTCATGTTTTTTTTTTCTTATTTAAAAATTTCCGCACAAAATGAATTTTATGTTCCTCTTTTGATACAATACAGTTTTTTCATGTTAATTTATGCAGTTTGAAAGTTCAGACAAAAATTAACTTTACAGTAAACTTTATATAATTTCTATTAAATTCAATGTAAAAGTTAATGCATGATGTTAATTTATACAGACTCTGACTGGGGTAAATGCGTATTTATTTTAAGCAACATATATGTGAACTATGCGAGCAAAGTTTTTGTGCGCTCAAAATTTAAGTAATGTTAAAGTTTCAAAAGTGAATAATGCTCTTTTAGTGTCTTAAGTATTAAGTGAAGTGCTGTTAAGTATTTTAATTTTATATAAATATATATATATACGTTTCTTTTAGCTGGCAATCACTGTGTACAGTATGTATCCATACTGCATCCCATTGTGGCCATTCTCCCAGCATATTTTCGCTTCGCTCAATGCATTCGTCGCTATCGCGATACCAAAGAGGCATTTCCCCATCTGGTAAATGCGGCCAAATACGCAACGTCCTTCTTTGTGGTTATATTTGCGCACAAGTTCCACACGACTACGGGTGAGTGGCGAAGAAATGTTGAAGTGTGCGTGGTTTCATTATGCGGCACTACACATTTTATTATTAATATGTGTGTGCTGTTTGTGTTGTGAAGCCAATTAGCGTTGCTTTAATGGCAAGCCGGGAATTCGTGTTCATTTCATATTTATGCATTAGAACACACAGACAGCATAATTTTTACGCAATTGCAGATACCTATTCGTTGTCCAAGGAAAATCCTTGGTTCTACTGTTGGATAACAGCAGCACTGTTCTCGTCCTGCTACGCCTACACATGGGACATCAAAATGGACTGGGGCCTCTTCGATGCGAAGGCGGGCGACAATCGATTCCTGCGTGAGGAAATCGTTTATTCATCGACGGTAAGTTTGGGCACCGCCACCCACACCCTCACCATTTGGGAGGAGCTAATGGTAGCGATAAATATTTGGGCTTGAAAAACAATCTTTCAATGCATCCATTACTCTTTTTCTCTTTTGTCTTGCGTCTCTTGTTTCTTGCAGTGGTTCTATTACTTTGGCATAATTGAGGATTTAATATTGCGTTTCAGTTGGACGCTTTCGATGAGCCTCATCCAGGCTGGTTACATTGAGGGTGATGTTATGATGACCATACTCAGTCCACTGGAGGTATTCAGACGCTTTATCTGGAACTATTTTCGGCTGGAGAACGAGCATCTCAACAATGTGGGCAAGTTTCGAGCAGTGCGTGATATATCAGTGGCGCCCATGGATTGCTCAGATCAGGTACACATATACAAACATATACAAATATATATGCGGATATTGATTGGTACTAAGTAAATATTTGTGTATCAGACCACAATATTGCGCATGATGGATGACGTGGATGGCGTGATAAATCGTAGGCGTGGCAAGGCCGCTGGCGGCAAAGCTGTCAATAAGAAGAACAAACACGAACAACAACGCTTACTCCTTCAAGGTGAATCCGTTGAGGATCTGTGCGCTTAGTGCGCACTCTTCTCAGTTACTCTTCTCAATGTGCACAAATATTAAGTATACGTAAATAAAAAAATATCAGAAAAAAATTGTATTTAATTTGCGGATAAGCATGGGGTTAGGGGGCTGCACGTAAGCCACATTCAATTGAATTGCCATCACTGTGAATTGTCAAAAACTCAATGTGTGTGAATCAACTACCCTGATGAGCAGGACGTGCCAATGACACCAGTTCTGTACACATATGTACAGTCGTAGCGAATCCGGCACGTGCCATACGAAATTATATCGTCAAAGTTATTTTACGCACCTTTTGTTATTTTAGTTTTCACTGTTCGAACTGCAATATATAATTGTCAATTACGCCCGAGGGTTTTTCAATGGAATATTAAACACAAACTGGTATCTGACCTATGTAATATGCAAATGCAGTATTACAAATTAGTTTGTAAATGTCATTGCAGCTGCAAATCTTTGTGATAATAAATCTATTCAAATATATATCTAAATGTATGGTAATATGGTATTATTTAATATGTATGACAAAATGGAACAATATGTTGCTTAGCAATATATTTATATATATAGATTTATTTATAAATACATATATATAAATATAAATACATACATATATTAATATTTATTGTTTATTGTTTGGCGACTTCTTTGTACAATTGAAATGTGTATTTACTATCTCCATGACCAGGTTGACATATTTATATTTATAATAATAATTATATACTAATGAAAATGTGAAAAGGTTTTTTTTCGCTACCAAATTAAATTGGCAGATCGTAAATAAATGTATTACATTGTATAAAATCTACCGCATTTACCCGTTCATCTCCAACAAAGAGGATAAATCGCTAAAGAAATTTACGCGTTCATTTTTGGCAAGTTTGTGTGTCACAGTACAATCTACTGTGTCACTGTACAATCCACTGTGCCACTGTACAATCTATCGTATATATTGGCTCTATTTATCAACAACAGGAAGCAAAAATTGATGTTTTTATGTTGAACAAACTTGATTATGCATAGAATGTCCATTGCAGTGTGCCTTTGATAAGATACTGAATTCAACTTCAATTCTATTTTAAGTTTTTTAAGCTATGTCGATTTTTGGTTTCCTGTATGTATGAACAATAGTTTTCAATATGTATTAGGAGTGACATTTTTTGTGCAAATTTGGACAACAAAGCAAAATTCATCAATATACTCGTTAAACCCTGGACATGAAACAAAAGGAAACCTTACCTTTTTTATATTTATTTTAGAATTCTTGCAAAGCTACTTTGGGAATTGGAGCGGAGGGCTGGTACCAATTTGCAGTGCCTTCTTTAAGCCAGGTCACAGCTGCTTTAATCTGATGTTGATTGATGAATTTGTTACTGTTTTGTTTTCGTTTGCGTTTCTGTTTCTGTTTCTGTTTTTTTCTTTTTCGTCTCTGCTGAATATTTCGTAATAATCTGCCGAATTGAACACATTAACAGCATGTTCAATTGCATTCAGGAATGATTTATTTCTGAACGTTTGACTAACTGCATGGAATTCACTCGCTCGACAGCGTTTAAATTTGAGTTCAATTCAATTAAAGGTGAAAAATTGTGTAATAATTTTAAGATGTTGATTTCTGATTAAGTAGTGCTTAAGCGCCAAACACAGCGAATTCACTTATGTAAAATGGTCGCACGACTGAAAACTTTGTTTTGTAGTAGTTTTTTCACATTATAATTTCCATAATATTGCAAAGTTTTATTGTTCGGTCCTCTAGTACTTTAAATGGCAGCTTTGTGGATTCTTTAATGCGATTTTAAAATGTACCAAGCACTTAACAATAAGAAATTGCTATTCTTGCACAACGTGGCGTATGATTGATTTGTTATTGAGTTATGGACAATTTAATGGCAGCCATTATTCTTCAGAGCGAGCCCATTTCAGTTATAAGCTGCGACAAATAAACATGTTAAATGGCATTTCAAATTGATTTTAAATGTGGCCCAAATGATTACATACCATATTTTTTTATTAAGCGGCTTTGGACACAGTACATTTATTGTGGTTTAGCTTGAATATATGCAGCATATTTCACAAAAATAAATGGAACATTAAAGTTTCATAAATGGGGCTGCAGATGAAATGGAACAAGCATAACTATAATAAAAAATTAAAATAAATGAAATTATTATTTACTTTATGAATTTTGGCTCACGAAATTGTACTGAATTTGAAGTACTCACAATTGAAATACAAGAATGTAATCATTTTTCTTAGTCAACATATTTTTTTTAAGGCAAATTAAAATGTATCTTGTAGCACGTTGCTGGGTAACCAAAACAAAAGCATTGCCTGTTTTGGTTTTCGGCTTTTTCATTTTTATACCCTGAACCCATTAAAAATGGGTAAAAAGAGTATAATGTTTTGTGCAACTGTATGTAACAGGCAGAAGGAAGCATCTCCGACCCAATAAAATATATATATATTCTTGATCAGGGTCAAAAGCCGTGTCGATATAGCCATGTCCGCCTGTCCGTCTGTCCGTCTGTTTCGACTGTATGAACACGCAGATCTCAGAGACTATAAGAGCTAGAGACTTCAAATTTGGAATATGGATTCTCGTATACCAGGGGCAGATCAAGTTTGCTTTATTTGATCGATAACTGCCTCAGGTTCTCGATTATCGATACATTTCAATATTCGATGCCAATAAATGCTACAATTTTAAAGGCAAAATCTTCTAATTTATACAGAATATTCATATGCATATTATTGATCAACTTCCTTAATTCCATCAATATCAGTTAAGAAGTTACCACCCAAGTTATAGTCGAAAATATATCCTCATACTAATGTCATTTCTATCAGCAGCCGCAAGCATTTTCTGTATGCATCAATATGCGAGCGCATGTGTGAGAAAGAGATGACACGATAATCGACGCGCGCGTCAATATGTCTTTGTGTGTATTCTGCAGACCCCCGTTACCCCGTTACGATTGTGTGTATGTATACATGTATGTATGTATTTATGTATATGTACGTGTTTGTTGCCAGTCAGCTAGGATCAGTTCGCGCTTGAGCCTGAGCCTGAGCTTGCTATAAGAAATGAGTGCACTTGACGATCTGCTCACATTTGGGCGCAAAACTTACTATAGGGATTATTTGCCAATAGTTGTAGAATCTATTTAACAGCTGGGTTCAGGGTAAATCTTAGTCGAGCTCACTTGACTACAGCACTCTTACTTGTTCTGTTTATGTTTTTTCCCAGAAGGGCCTGAACAAATATTTGCATTGATGGAAACCAGCTTGATCCAAGCGCTTCTGTCCTATGTCCCTTGGCGTTAACTCAAAACCATTAGATTAGATAAGAAGCCATTTTTGAAGGTTTTTTTTTATTAGATTTCATATGTGTGAGTGTCTTTGGGCTATATGCACGGATAAAGCTGTTTCAACATTTAACAGCATTTATAACTCAGCTGGCAGGCAGTAAGATGAGGCACACTGATAAGCACTCGCCTTGGGTGTTGATAAAGGGTTGCCATGACTTTAATTCTGGGGTTTACGCGTATTGTTTGTATTTTTGCTTTCGCCAGCTGTTTTTTTCCCCAACCTGGGAAAACAAAAAATGTTTAAGTCTCCATATAAAAGATAGAACAATCCAAAAACAAAAATATGAATGGCAAACTTGAAAAACAAACTACAAAGTGTTGTTTGTCTAGCATTTGAGATCTGACAGATAGTAAGAGACTCAGACTCAACTAGATTAAAACAAAAATGTATATTTACATTAAAGGTTGGGAAATGTTTTGACTGCCTGTTAAGACCATTTACAATAAGTACAGGGTATTATAACTTTTTAGCACTTTAAGACAGACACAAATCAACTTTCCAACTGCCTCCTGGGTTCTTGCAGTTGAGCGTGATGCTTGACATAAAGTTTTGACATTTTCTGTTTTGGTCCTCTGCTGTAGACTCACCGGGTTTTCATTGATTTGACAGACGCACACACATACACACAGCCACACACACACATACACACAGCCTAACAATTTGTTAGATTGGTGTGCAAAGAATTTCGAGCCTGTGATGTGTACACAAAACAAGGAATCTTTGGAAACACAGAATGGCACTGGCACAGCAGTTATGTATTCTTGTTCAGTTTTACCTCTGCAACTAGAGCAAAAACAACAGCAGCAACAACAACAACAACAACACCGACACCGACACCAACAATAACGGGTTGAGTACACATGTCGTTCTGTGTATTTTGTGTGCAATAAAGTTTTTCTGTCGAATGTTCAATCAATGCCAATGCCAGGAAAAACCCATTGGATATGTCAATGCCAATGCAAATACACTGATTAACACCTTTGTACAATGTGTTTCAAATTTTTGCCATAGATACAATGCTGCAAAAAACTCAATTATGCACACAGTTTCAGTAGTTTTTAATTGCATTGCGTTGAAATTCCTGATCCGTGTATGCAATTGTGTTTCCAATGTAATGTGGAAAGTTTTTGCCGGATTTGAATTTTTATACCTTAATCCCGAGGTTATCATAGTAAATTAGTTTAGTGCAATGTCCGTCATGCTGTCTGTCCGTCTGTTCGTCCGTCCGTGTGTCCGTCTGTCTGTCTGCCTGTATGAACGCAACTTTTTCCGACACCCTTAGAGATAGAGACTTGGAACTTGGAACATATACTGGTCTGTGCCCGCTTTAGACAAAGTGTAAAAATTTGAGTGCTACGTCCACTAGGGAGCTAGGAAATCGATAAAATCGATAATTGCAAATCGATAAAGCCACATATCTCCCACTATCACAATTTTAAGGCTACAGTCACCAAATTTGGATGGTATTGTTGGCAATGTTCTTCAAGGATCGGCATTTAAAAAAACTTCGACGAACATCTTCAACAGTTTGTAAGCTAGAGTCATCAAGTTTTCAAAAGTATGTTGCTGGTAACTCTCCTAAGAGATGAATAAAAACATCTGTTAGGGTAAATCGTAAATAAAACCACATATCTCACACAATTAAAAGCTAGAGTCAAACAATTTGAAAGGAATATTGCTAGTAATACCCTTCGAAAATTCG